TTATGGTCTTTGGGAAAATACCTTGGGAACTACTACTTGAACACAATTTCTAAATTTTACTGGCAAAAAGGCAGAGGTTCTAAGAGGGGTTGAACTTCTTATAGGTAGTTGGTAGGGGAGCTAGGACTAGAGCCCTATTTCTTGACTGCCTGGTTCAAACTGGTCAACCATACCCAACTAGGGGGCATTTCTTTTTTTTTTTTAAATATATTTTATTGATTTTTTACAGAGAGGAAGGGAGAGAGATAGAGAGTCAGAAACATTGATGAGAGAGAAACATCGATCTGCTGCCTCCTGCACATCTCCTACTGGGGATATGCCCGCAACCCAGGTACATGCCCTTGACCGGAATCGAACCCGGGACCCTTCAGTCCGCAGGCCGACGCTCTATCCACTGAGCCAAACCGGTTTCGGCTAGGGGGCATTTCTTAAGGTGGGTTCTGGGATGCCAGGCATTATATGTAGTCCTTAAGATAATGGGTAAAAAGGAGAACATTTACTCCATAATGGGTTCTTTTGGGATACTTTGCTAAAAGATAGAGATTGTTTTAGGTGCTTTTAAAAATGGGTAATTCTATCCCATTCTTTTGTGACTCATAGTTCTTGAGGTGCCTTTCATTGCAGCCTGGATATACCACTTATTTAATAAATGTTAGAGAACCTAGTGGGGTCAGAGGAGGTTGGTGGCAGGGAGGAAGAAGGAAAGGGTCGGGACCTGAAAAGGAGTGAGAAAAGGGAAAATGTGAATAAAGAGAGGTGTAGATGAAAAATAGGAGCCAGCAGCCACTGACCAGTGGACGATAGTGGAGCCCTGGCAGAGAAAGGAAAGGAGACAGCTGTAGGTGACTGAAAAACAAAACAAAACTGAGTGAACAGGAAGCTTTGCTTTTAAAAAGTAAAAGTGACTCATGAGGCTAATTTGGATGCTGGCCATGCCAGGAGGGCCCTGCCAGGAGGTTGGGTTGAGCACCAACTGCTGAGAAACCTAGTGAACTCGGACGAAGGTGTATTTATTGAATGAATACAATGGGTGTGCAAGGTGTCTTCTTAAGCACCACAATCATACATGAGTAAGACACAGGTCTGACCCTCAGGAAAGTGGCAGTCGAACAGGAGAAAAGCTAGGACAGGGACTTTGCTAAGACAAGGAAAGGTAGAATGTGATCAGTGCCCCTAGAGGTACAAGAAGCCAATACTGGGAGGAATCGGGTGTCAGGAAGATCATATCAAGTCTTGAGGCTCTAAAAGGCCTATGTGGGAGGGCCATGAGGCATAGATAGGATTGCACCAGGCAATAGTGGGAGATAAGAGGAGAGGCATTTCAAGGCAATATGATAAGGAATCTTCAGGCGGTGGGAAAGCATATGGATCAGTGAGTGTTTGCAGCCAAGTGGGTTGCAGCCAAGGGGACATATGGACTGGGAGGGGTGTAGAGAGAAAGTTTTGAAGTTACACTGGGGGACTTTGAATGCATGGCTCAGGTACTGATGTTCCAGGTAGTCAATGGGTAGCTAGTGAAGTGTGTGTGTGTGTGTGTGTGTGTGTGTGTGTGTAGAGGAATAATAACATTGGAGATGATTCTCAGGCCGGTTACTATGCAGAAGGGGTAAGTCAGGGAAGGGGCTCACCTAGTGAGGGAGGATGCACTTTGGTTTTGGAGACACCAAGGGTCAATCTGAAAATCCTGCCGGAGATAATGCCCGAGTCCTCTGCCCACAGAGACCCAGAAGGTTCTGGTCATTACCTCAGGGGTTAGGGAACAAGAAAGAATGAGAGGAAAAGAACCAGGAGGAAAAGACACAAAGAACAGCCACAAGAGGTGGAGATGTCTTTCTTTCTTTTTAAAATTGAATTTATTGGGACAACGTTAGTTAACACAATTATATAGGTTTCAAGTGTACAGTGCGTCTCTAATAATCATCTGTATATTGTATTGTGTGTTTACCATCCAAAGTCTCTTTCCATCAACATTTAATCCCCCTTGACCCTCTTCTACCTCCCCCCCCCACCTCCCTTTCCCTCTTGTAATCACTATACTGTTATGTCTAAGAGGGTTTTTAAAAATTTAATTCCTTTACCTTTTTCACCCAGCCTCTCAACCCCCTCCACTCTGACAGTCTGTTCTCTGTATCTTTGAGTCTGTTTCTATTTTGTTTTTTAGTTTATTTTGTTCATTAGATTCCACATATGAGACTGTATGGTTCTTGGCTTTCTCTGACTGGCTTATTTCACTTAGCATAATATTCTCTAGGTCCGTCCACGCTGTTGCAAAAGGTAAGATTTCCCTTTTTTTTTTTTTACAGCCCAGCAGTATTCCATTGTGTAAAGGTCCCATGTCTTTTTTACCCACTCATCTACTGATGGGCACTTGGGCGGCTCCCAAATCTTGGCTATTGTAAATAACGCTGCAATGACCATAGGGATGCATATATTCTTTTGGATTAGTGCTTCAGGTTTCTTCTGCTATATTCCCAGAAGTGGAATCGCTGGGTCATAAATAGCAAGGACTTTCCTCAAAAATTTTTAAAAAATAAAAAAACTTTTTTTAAATAGGTGGAAGTTTCAATAAAGAAATTATAGCCAGAGTTTCGAAACCCAGCCTTGGAATTGAGAGTAGTGTGTTTCAATGACAGTGGCCTGACTACTCATGAATAGCAAAGGGACTTCAAGGAGTTTCAATTTATTTTTATTCATTCTAGCCTAAGGGTATGTTTTACTGATTTTAGAGAGAGGGGAAGGGAGGGAGGGGGAGAAAGAGAGAGAGGGAAACATAGATGTAGGAGAGACACCTGATTGGTGGCCTCCCATAGGTGCTCCCACCAGGGATGGAACCCGAAACCGGGTATGTGTCTGACCAGGAATCCCATGGGCAACCTCCCGAGCCTGGGACAGAGCTCCCCATGGGCCACACTGGCAGGGCTCAAAGAGTGTTTGAGTCTGTTTCCTCATTGATGGGAGTGATTTACATCTCAAAGGTTGAGAGCATTCACTGAGAAAACTCCTTAGCAAAGGGGTTTGCACACCTAGGAGTCCAGGGGGCAGCTGGAGAAGGACCTGGAAAGATTAAGGGTATCCCCTGAGGCACGTCGGGAAATGAGGCCAGGGACCCTCAGGAAGCCCAAAGCCTTTGCTTTAGCCGAATTTGCTGTGAGGGGAATGGTGAGCGGGTCAAGGCAGCCTTAGCCTAGTCCCCACTCCAAGGCACTGCTCTGTCACCCCGGCTGCCACCTAGCTGCACCCCCCCCTCCCTTCCCCGCAAACCCCCTCCAGCAAGTTCTGGAAGGCAGACGCGCATGCGCTCTGCTGCGCCCCTGCCCAGCTTTCCACGTTTCACTTCCCTCCCTTTTCCTCCGCAGCTCCTGCTCCACCGCTACGATTGGCCAGACGACCTCCTCGCCTCGTCCAATGAACGCCGGCCTCTCGCCCCCGTGTTACTGGGTAGAACAAAACAAAAACAGAGCAAGAGCGGCCAGAGACGCTCCGAGGCAGCGGCAGAGGTTGAGGAGCGGGGATCGGGTCAGCGGAGCGGAGACTGGGCGAGGAGCGCCAGCGGCCCGACGGGTCAGTACCGGCGCGGCTCGCACGCTCGGGGGGACTGCGCCCTCTCCACAGCCCCGTCTCCCCTCGGCTGCAGCCGCACGTTGGGAGGGGGAGGGGGCGTGGAGGCGGCCGGGTCAGGTCTGGTCTGGTCCGGGTCGGCGGGGCTGGGGTGTCCGGCCGCCTCCTCCGAGCCCCGCCGGCTCCGCGGCGCCCGCCCCAACGCCCCGGGTAGCGGAGAGCCCACCCGGCCCCCTCCTCTGGGCTCGGGCCGGAGCGCGGCGGCGCGGGCCCGCCCCTCCCGGACCCCGGCTCCGCTGGGCCAGGCGCGCGGGGCGCTCGCCGCGGAGGGGCTCCTTCCCGCCCCCGCGAAGGCCGAGGTTTTATTTCCATGTGGGGGGTGGGCGTTGGGGGGCGCGTTTCTGGCCTGACGAGTCCTGAGGGAGGCTTGCGTCCTCCTCGCCCCCTGGCCGCCATGGGAGCCCTCGGAGGAGGCACCCCTCCTCGGCCCGGCCTCTCCAGGCCCGGCCCTGCGCCCCTCGCCCCGGTTCGGGTCGGGACTGGCGGCCGCGGGGGTCCGGGCCTGCGCCGCGGCGGGGTAGCGGACCCGACGGCTGCCGTGGGGGCCGCGCTCTCGCCGGGGCGCGGGGAGGCGGACACGTGCCCGCCGCCGGCCCCGCGCGGACCGGGCTGCGCCTCTCCTGAGGCAAAGGGTTGTTTTGTTTTCTTTTTGGGATGTGGGTTGTGTTTTTAGTTTAAATGAAATCTGCCGGAGAAGACAAAGACGGGAAGGGAGCCCCCTTTCTGTGACAAGCGCGCTGCGCTCGTTGCCTGGGCCCGCTTGGCGCTCCGCGGCCCCGCGAGCGGGTGGCTTTTGCGGGAGCTTCGGAACCGTTTGCTGCGGCCCATGTCGCCCGTCCCCAGCGTCCCGGTGAGACCGGGCCGCGTAGCCAGCAGCCGAACGGCATCTCCGGAGAAAACCATTAAAAATGCAGCTTCCCGTGGAGAAGACAGTCACGCCCGTGTCTACTTATGTTTTACTGTTGAGTTTTAGAATTGTGGCATTCTTGCTATTGTAAGGCTTTTTAAAAAAAGGGGGGTGGGGACCACTGCCCGAGGTGTTGTAAATGTCATGATTGGTATTTATGCCCTGACCTTTCCTTCACTATAGGTTTGTTCAATTCCCCAGCATCTCAGCAGGCGTCTTCGTATGATACTTCCATTGGACTTTCTGTTGTAATAAGAGAAGTAGTTGCCAGGAGTGCAAAAAAAGAAGTGACAGCTTGGATATTTCCTGTGTGCCCACTTTTGCATCATTGTGGCTAAATACTTTTAGCTGATTCTTTTAAGCTGCTAATGAGCTGTAATTGTAGCCCTGGAATGAATACAAATACGTACATTTCTAGCTAACATATGGACTGAACTTCAAAAATGGTCAGAGTGGATTATCAGGTATATAGAGGATCAGGAAATAGGTATTTTTGTGGGTGGGTGGAGTCAGAAACGGAGGCTCTGTTTTTTAAGGAATGTTTTGGCAGTTGAAGACTTCTGAGTGTGTATTTCTGTGAAACATTGTAGAAGTGAAAACAACGTTTAATTTCAGCCTTAATTTTGTCTAACATGTATAGTTTTGTTTTCTTGTTGAAGCTTAAATTTGTAGTTTAGTATGAGGGCTGCGGGTTTAAATTTATTGATTTACATTTTCTTAATTTGGGGGCAAAAATGTTAAGTAAAGTGTGTGTGTGTGTGTGTGGGGGGGAACCCCACTGCTTTGAAGAAAGTAAAAACAGGGAACATATCTTTACCCTCCAAATGTCTGTGTTGCTATCAAGAATGACAGAGTTCTTGATTGCATTATCATTGCCTGAAGAAATAGGGCTATGTTTTTATGATTACTTACTAAAAACAAACTTGGTACCATATAGATGATATTCATTACCTGATAATATTCTTTGCCCAACTGAATGTGTTCTGTATAATAGTTTAAAATAAATATTTTTTAATGTTTGGAGAGCAGTATTTAAAAATTTGATATAACAGTAGGAGTCTATGTTTTAATAACTTTTCTCCTTTAACTCTAAAAAATAATCTTCCTGTAGTATAACTAAGATTTGGTATTGAATGTGTGCAAACAGTGCTGGATTCAGAAGATGGAGGTTCTAACCCTGGTTCTTTCACTGTGCAGCCTTCTCTTTCTGTGGACAGATCACCTGCCTTCTTAGAATCTGTTTAATTGTGTGTAAAGTGGAGTACCTATCTCAAGATTTCTGAGAGGTACATGAAATAATGCATGTAAAATATTTTTGAATTATAAAGGGCTTTGTAAACACCAGTTATAATGGTTTCATTTCCTTTATTGGCTATATTCTGTAGCAAGTACTTTCTTAGATTATACTTGCATCAAATATGAAAAAGACTTTAATGTAACTCGTGTAAAAATCTCATATACACATCATATGACATTTTCACTTGACTGTGACATAATTTATACACAGAAATGAAACAGATATGCCTTTTCAGCCATGAAGGATACTAAATGTTGAAATTTGCAAACTGTTTTGTTCTCATATCTTTATGTATCTCTTGTATATATTTTTAAGGTTATTTTTTCTCCTAAATCCAGACTTTGTGGGAATTATGATATTAAAAGGTATTTATATAAAAACATGTTTTTTCAAAATATAACTGGAATGATGTCATCATTTTGTTAATTTCTGAAGCAACATGATAGCATCTTAGTAGACCAAGGATTATGTCATATTAAGAATTTATGATTTTAACAAAAGATATTTAATTTTATTTTATAAAATAATACCCTTTTCTGGAGAAAAGGATTACAAATTTGAAAGATGTTAAAATAGCATATATTGAAAAATTTAAAAATCAGTTTCACCTTTAAGTTCTAGGAGGCATCCATATATAATTATTCTAAAATGACATCTATTATTGGTTAAGTTATATGAGAAAAATACGCTTTTCTGTAGTTCATTAGTCATTTTCATTAATTTGTGCATTTTATGGCTTAAAGGAAGAGCACACTGCTGGTGAAATTATTGTAAATGAATGGAAGGACTTATATGTAAACTATAAATACTTAAGTACTGTAAACCACTATTTGAATGATATTTAGAGAGAGATAGATTCTGAAATCATATTGGTTACACCTGGCAATAGTTTTCATGATAGTGTATCTTGATAGTCTTTCATATAACATTGAATTTATATCACTAAGTTAAATTGCCTAAATAAAAGATAACTGATTTCATTAAAACCTTCCAGCACTAGTAATTTTTAAGCCATTTTGAAATTAAGGTCTAATATAATGAGATGCTAATGTCATTGTACTCATTCCTTTTTAAAATAGGTAAGATTCTTTTTTCTAAAGTGTGTTTTACAGATTATAAAAATAATATCGTTCTCCCAATCTCAAAGTTGTATAACAGTAATTATAGATACCTAGATGATGAAATGGCAGATATATCTGCCTTTAGATATGTTGTAGACTGAGAAATTACACAGACATGTGATATTATTGATTGACCAAAATGCTGTTGTTTGCATTTTGTAGTAGTGCTCATAATTCATTGGTAGCATACTACCCAGTATTTATTTATATCAGATTAACTATGAGACCTGTTCCTAAAATATTAGAAGTGTGTGTGTGTGTACTCCTTTAACTTGAAGTAAACATGGATAGCAATATCTTTTAATGCCAAGTAATTTGGCACACCCAGAAATATGGAATTTTTTTTTGGACACAGATATAATGTGTCAAGAAGATCGAAACCAATTATTATTTAGGGTAAACTATATTTAAAAGTAAACAAATCACATGGAATATGTGGTTATTGTTATTTTTTTACAGTGTTAATTAAATTGAATTTACCTTGATTATATCAGTTTGGAAGATATTGAAACATTTTTTTTTTCTTTTTAAAGAAATAGATCCCAAAGGAAGACTTCCATTTGGTAATTTAATCAGTGCAAGTGAAATTAAGGAATAATGGATGTAGAAAATGAGCAGATACTGAATGTAAATTCTACAGGTAAGTATTCATATTTTGAACCTTGATTGTATTATGAGCAAGTTTCAGGCCATACCAAATTTTATGAATACATAATATTAAAACTGTCTTTACTTTAAAAACCATCTTATTCGTGCTACAAGAAAATAGGTCATGTTATTTTTTAAATCGAGTTTGTGATTCTTATTTTCATAGAAATTCATCACGTCCTTATTTTTCTGCCTATCTTTCCCATTCCATACTCTTATTCTATGCTATCCTCCTATATAATAAAACCCTAATATGCAAATCGATTGAACCGTGGAATGACCAGTCCCTATGACATGCACTGACCACCAAGGGGCAGATGCTCAACGCAGGAACTGCTTCCTGGTGGTCAGTTGTGCTCCCACAGGGGGAGCAACGCTCAGCCAGAAGCCGGGCTTACAGTTGGTGAGCACAGCAGTGGTGGCAGGAGCCTCAAGAGGGTGCAGGTTGGGCACCGGACCTCTAGTTTATACTAATAAAAGGGTAATATGCTAAGTAGACTGGGAGACCTTCCAGGAGACCTGGACAAAGCCATGGTGGCAGGGCTGAGGTAGAGGCGGTAGAGCCCAAGAGGGGAGGGCAGTTGTGGGTGATCAGGCTGGTGGGGGGAGGGGCCATTGGGGGTAAGCAGACCAGCTGGGGGGCCAGTTGGGGGCAAGCAGGCCATCAGTGGGGGTCAGTTGGAGGTGATCAGGACAGCGGGGCCGGGGGGCAGTTTGGAGTGAGCAGGCCAGCCAGCAGAGGGGCAGTTAGGGGCGAGCAGGCCAGTGGGCAGGGAAGGTGGAAGGCAAGTAGGCTAGCAAAGGGGGCAGTTGAAGGTGAGCAGGCTGGCAGGGGAGGCAGTTGGGAGTGAGCACACTGGCACGGGGGGCAGTTGGGGGTGATCAGGCTGGTGGGGCATTTGGGGGCAAGCAGTCCGGCGATGGGGGTCAGTTGGGGGCGAGCAGGCCAGCAGGTAGAGTGGTTAGGGGCAATCAGGCAGGCAGGTAGGCAGGTGAGTGGTTAGGAGCCAGCAGTCCCGGATTGCGAGAGGCATGTCCGACTGTCGGTTTAGGCCCGATCCCTGTAAACTGGCAGTAGGACATCCTTCGAGGGGTCCCAGATTGGAGAGGGTGCAGGCCGGGCTGAGGAATACCCCCTCCCCCGTGCATGAATTTCATGCACCAGGCCACTAGTTTATAATAAACCTTATTATACAGAATGGAGAATAGTGCTCATTAATATTTTGCTCATTAATATTTTTCACATGAGCTAGTGATTTCTATAACATAAACTATTATTGGTATCTTTGATATCTTTCCTAACTAATAATTTATATTTTATAAATTACCTAAGGGTATTCTCTTTATTTTCCATCATACTTCAATGGCACATTATTATAAAGATGGGCTTTTTTTTTAAATTGATGTCCAAATTACTTCAGACAACTTCAAATGTATTTCTAGCTTTCATTTTTAAATTTTTTTGGTGAGCCTATATTTTTTATTATTTTTTAAATTTATCTTTATTGTTGGAAGTATTACAGTTGTCCCCTTTGTTTGTTTGTGTTTTTCCCATCGATCTCCTCTGCCCCTCCTAGGCCTTCACCACTCTATAGTCTATGCCAGGGGTGGGCAAACTTTTTGACTCAAGGGCCACAATGGGTTCTTAAACTGGACCGGAAGGCCGGAACAAAAGCATGGATGGAGTGTTTGTGTGAACTAATATAAATTCAAAGTAAACATCATTACATAAAAGGGTACGGTCTTTTTTGTTTTTAGTTTTATTCATTTCAAACGGGCCGGATCTGGCCCGAGGGCCGTAGTTTGCCCACGGCTGGTCTATGCTATGGGCTATGCATATATGCATATAATTTCCTCAGTTAATCACTCCCACCCCCACTCCTGCCTTTCCTCTGAAATTACTTAGTCTGTTCCATTGTATTTCTAGCCTTTAGAATAATCTTTGTAGAAAGTTGAGATTTTGAAATATTCCATATAGTGAGAGCTTTTTGTTAATATATTTTAGATAATTGTTTGCTTTATAACTTTAATAATTAAAATGATCATTTTTTGTAATTTAAATATATTTCACTTTTTAATGATACAGCTTCATTTTTTAATGACTTTAATTCACTGTTGTGTACAGGAAAATAATTTTCTTTGATCTGACCACTTTGAAGTTGAAACTTCTTTGACATTTTGTACTTATTAATCTGATTTTAAGTGTGTTTGAAAATTATAATTGAAAAAAATTATTACAGTAATTAATAATTATTTTGGTGCTGCTATATACAATAGTTATATGGGTACTGTACTGTTTTTTTATGGTTATAAATGGGTATCATGTACTTCATTGAGGTGGGGATGGTAATAATACAGTATAAGAATATATTTCACATGTAGGTAATTGTTTCTTTTAAAATAATTTTACACATATTTAAAATGTATTGGTAACATTGGTTAATAACATAATTTTCAGGTATATAAGATTACATAGTTCTATATCTGTGTACTTTATTGTGTGCTCTCCACCCAAAGTCTAGTCTTCTGTTTATTTATTTGACCTCCTTTACCTTCTGGTAGCTACCATTCTGTTGTCTGTATCTGACTTTTATTTGCTACTTTTTGTTTTATATTCCACATATGAGCAAATTCATACTTTTTTGTCCTTTTCGGTTTGACTTATTTTACTTAGCATAATACTTTCAAGATCCATTTATGTTATCATAAATGGCAATATTTCATTTTTTATGGCTGAGTAGTATTCCACTGTGTGTGTGGAATTACATCTGGTAATTATTTTTTTTCAGAACTGCCCAGTGTGATAACCACTCACAGTTATGAATAGACAAAGCACAGTTTATTCTTGTATTATTATTTATTAATTATTGCATTATTTATTTTTATTACAAATATAAACCTACTTTTGCCCACCCTTGTATATGAAAATATATTAAAATAGGTGAAAAGAAAAACTCAAGTGTGGGGAAGTATGTACTCCAACGGACAGTTTAAAGCATTTAATTATACTTCTAAGTCCTTTATTTTCTGAGCGAGTTTGGTGGTTCACCTTAATTCTATATAATAAAAGCCTAACATGCAAATCGACCAAACGGCAGAACGACCGGTCCCTATGATGCACACTGACCACCAGGGGGCAGATGCTCAACGCAGGAGCTGCCCCCAGCCTGCAAGCCCCAGGCCAGCCAAGACGGGTGCCAGCGGGGCCCCCCTACCCCGAGCACCCTGCCGGTTCCCCCACAGATCGGCCCTGATTGCCGACCAGGCCTAGGCACCCTACCCATGCATGAATTTTGTGCATCGGGCCTCTAGTTGTAGAATAAAATCAGTATGTTACAGGTAGATGTTTAATGTTTTCTTCAACCACCAACTCCTACTTGAAACTCCATCTAATTTGAGTTCTGGTCCTTCTCTTTCCTCTTAATCTTTTTTTTTTTTAATTTACATTCCTTCTATGTTCATCCTGTCTGTTTGTCACTACTCTGCTGTACTCTAGCTTTGCATTTCCTATAATTACAATCATCTGAGATTCACATGTGGGTTTTATTCTGACCACAATCTGTTTTAGATATGTAACTTTTCTATGAAACATTTTCCATCTGTAAAATGAAGACAAACATCTTCATTATAGTTTTGTGAAGATTATAAACCATGTATGTGAAGTGTGTAGGGTAGAATCTGGGTAACAATAGTGATGGTAATGACAGAAGTTATAGTATTACTATTATGACTATTAGTTTATCTATAATGATGGTTATAGCCAACCTGGCTTCCTTTCCTAAAAATCTTTGCAAGGTATCATTTTACTTTTCTTGAATCTATTTTGTTTAAAAGCACGTTATTTTTTGGTTAAAAGTACTACTTTCTTATTTACCCCAAAGTTACTAACCTTTCCCTTTCCAGTTAGTTTGTGACTAAATTACCGCAACATTTTCTTAGCTGGTCTCCCACTTTATACTTTCTCTTTTTTCTAATACATTCTGTATTATTCTGCTAAATGAATCCTCCATTAGTAGGTCAGTAATGGTCAAGTAATGGTCACATATAGGTATATCATAATCCCCTCTATGGTACCAAATCTGAGCTCTAACTATATGAATGTGGAGAGGTCAGCAATTATTCTGGTGATGTAAGCAGGGACAAGATCAGAAATTACAAATTAATGAATTTACATTTTGACCCCATGAGAATACCTTCAAATGGTTTTCAGCAGGGGCATGTTTTAGAAAATGGTCTCCATGCAGTTTGGAGAATGGTTTGAGGACTGAAGGCATGGAGAATGTTTATGAGACTGATGAAGTAATTTGACATGATATTTGTTTCTAAATTTTTTGTTTTGTCAAGAATTATAAAGATTTTAACACATCTATGCTTTTTAAAGGTAGATTTAAAAAAATTCAGTTTCAACATATTAAAACATGTCAAAGCCCAGGCACACAGACTTGACACATCCTAATTACATTTGGAAATATTTAAAACCATCTGAGGACTTATACTCTGACTTGAGTTAGCCTAAGTGAAAAAAACAACAACAACAAACCTTTGGCCTGTGGGTAACTAATTTAGTAGTTTTCTGACTTACAAAGTTTTCAGAGCAAAGCTGACTGTGTCATTTGATCTGCACAGACATTTGAGTTGATAGTATGAAGGATACTCTACTAGGTGCTGAGGATACCAAGAAGTACAATTCCTCTTTTGAAGCTTATGACTTATTTGGAAAAGCAGGACTGCTATGTAAAAAAAGTGATTTTGGTGATGTGGTTAATGAATGATAAGAGTATTAGTGTTATTGTTGGTAGAAGTGTGAGGAAAGTTTTTACAAAGGAAATAATACTTGACTTATATCCTCAAGGATCTTGGTAACTAAAAGTGCAGTGAGGATGACATTCTAAACAGAAGACCACTGGGAACTCCAGATATGTTGCTATCTTTCAGGGAGTAATGTACAAATCTTATTAGTATATAGGCTGGAAGATTTTCAGAGGATGGCTAAGTAATATGGGTCAAGTTTGGAGAGATGAATTAGGACTTTAAATGATGGCTTTGAAAGCAAGCTTTATCTTTGAAAGCAATGAACAGCTCAACTCAATAATCATATGTGATCACATATTTGCCAGATTAGTAATATTTTCTAAGTATCTGTAATAAATCAAGAGATGTTTGGCAAGTTATTTAAATAATTTTAGCCTTAGTTTCCTTAACTGTATAAATGATGTAGTAAATAGATCTCACACTGTGGGTAAATGACAGAGTATCAACACAGTGCCTGATAAATAATATTAGGCATTCTGTACATATTAGTTTATCTTTCTTCCAAGATCCTTAGTGTTATATCTTCAACTGCTTAGCTCTCTTATCTCACCAAAGTCTTAAGGTTTTATATTTGGTGTTTATATTAAGATAGATGGTATAACATGAGATAGCATGCTTTTAGTAAACTTTGTTAATTTTATATTCAATGCCTTAGTTTACTTTTGATAATGTGAAAAGTAATCCTAGTTAGTTGTCATTTAGATTGAACCATAAGAAATTGCCGATATGTGACCATGAGTGACCTACAAAGGTGGTAATTTCATGTAATTCAACCTAAGTTATTACTATAATTAGTATAACAGTAGATGGTTAAAATACTTACCTTTCTTCATTTTCCTCTTTAAGATCCTGATAACTTAAGTGACTCTCTATTTTCTGGCGATGAAGAAAATGCTGGGACTGAGGATATAAAGAATGAGATAAATGGAAATTGGATTTCAGCATCCTCCATTAATGAAGCTAAAATTAATGCCAAGGCAAAAAGGCGCCTACGGAAAAACTCATCCCGGGACTCTGGCAGAGGCGATTCAGTTAGTGATAATGGAAGTGAAGCCATTAGAAGTGGAGTAACTGTACCAACCAGTCCAAAGGGAAGATTGCTAGATAGGCGATCCAGATCTGGGAAAGGACGGGGACTACCAAAGAAAGGTTGGTATATACCACATCCAAAGACATAAGTGGAAAAAAATATTGCCCGATTTTTGTACTACAATTTTCTTGTTTTATGAAATGAGAGATATTTAAACAATGATAACATAAGATTTGGGATTGTATATATATTTTTACATAGTACTAAACTGAGGGTCATACCACTTTTTAAGTTGAGGCATTTCAATTTTTCATGTTTGAATAGATTTAGTTTTTTTGAGCAGAACTTATTATTTCCAGGAAGTTACACACTGACGTTTTTCACAGTTACAAATTATGCATGTTCTCTCTAACTTTGCTTGAAAGAAACAAGGTCAGGAATTCATCATACCTATTGTCTAAGGCAGGGGTGGGAAACCCTTTTTCTGCCAAGGGCCATTTGGATATTTACAAAATTATCAACTTAAAAATTAGCCTGCTATATTTGGTCAAACATTTAATTAGCTTACCCCTAATGCCTTGGCAGGGCCAGACCAAATTATACAGCATGAGGGCCGGACATTCCCCACCCCTGGTCTAATGAATCAAATTGTGGTCATTGTGAAGAATATGATACATGTAAATTTGATTGGTAATATTATTCTCAGAATTTTAATTAGATTGCATAGATCTAGTTCCACGTTCTCTTTAGCTCTATTTATCTTGGATAGTGGAGTAGAATTATCTGTTTCTCTGCTGTGTCTCTAGTGCTTGGAGTAGTGACTAGCTACATAGATACTGTACTTAAATATTTGTTGATTGGGGGGGGGGTCTGTCATCTTTTGTCTGTGGTAGGATTTTGATACAGTTTGGTGATTTTACTAACTTCTGAATGGTGGCAACTTCAATTTATAGCCTAGGGTTCTTGCAAAATGTTTTTGTCATATGTCCAAAATAGTTATTTTGTTGAATGGCTCTATAGCCATTGGTTGGATCAAAAATAGAAACTAATTCTCAGATTCTGTTTTGCTCTGGTGACAAGGATTATACTCTGGATATAAAATAAAAACCTCTAAAATATTGGTGATACTGTAAACTTCTTTAAAATTATTCAATATATTGAGCCTTATAAAAACATTCAGTTAATGTAGAAAAGCGACTTTGAAAGTTTCATTTGTTAAATTTCTACTGATCTGCTTGTGTATAGAAGTAGAGAGAAATAATGATCAGTGCTCTTAATGCTTAAAAAGCAATTATTTGTAACATTGCTAGTTGCAAAGTATAGTTTAATATGTACTTTTATATCTAAAGAGTATTTGACTTTAAAACATGATAGTGGTCATGGTGTTTCTTTGGTAATTAATTTCTTCCTTATTGAGTTTTCCATGCCACATTGTACTGGCTCAACTTATTTTCTTTTTGTGTTGATCTCAAGAAATGCCAAATAAAATTTAGAGCTAAATTGAAATATCACTTTCTTTGAGGTCCCCAATATAGTTTTTTTTTTTGTGTGTGTGTGTGTGATCTTTTTGTTTGGCTTTTATTTTAAAGCAGCTGCCTTTTTAGTTTTAACTTTATAAACTATTTCAACTTGATGTTCCTAAGTAGATTATAAAGTATCTAATCTTTACTGAAAAAGCAGTGATCAGAATAAAAAGAGGTTTAAAGTATAAGTCTCAACTGGAAAAAATAAAGTAAAATACAGTTTTTTCAGCGGTTACTTCAAAATATGTTTTATTGATTTTTTTTTTTTAAGGTAGAGGAAGGGAGTAGGGAGAGAGAGAGATAGAAACATCAATCAGTTGCCTCCTGCATGCCCCATACTGAGGATTGATTCCCAACCCCTGTATATGCCTTGACTGGGAATTGAACTAGCGACCTCTTGGTGCATGGGTCAGTGCTCAGCCACTGAGCACACTGGCCGGGCAGCTGTTATTTTTAATTAACATCTGAACATGTAGAGTTTTTTCAAATTTCTCTTTGCTTTTTCAATTCAAAACTTTCCAGGTGGTGCAGGAGGCAAAGGTGTTTGGGGTACACCTGGGCAGGTATATGATGTGGAGGAAGTGGATGTGAAAGATCCTAACTATGACGATGACCAGGTATCTGTGTTTTTGCTTTTTTAACATATGTTTTAATACTTACACGCTTTTTTGATCTCATGTTCGTTGTGTACTCATATGTTTGTCAAGTCATGTTCTGTGTCTGTGTTTATCATCTACTAGAGGCCCAGTGCACAAAAATTTGTGCACTCGGGGAGGGCGGGTCCCTCAGCCCAGCCTGTGCCCTCTTGCAGTCTGGGACCCCTCAGGGGATGACCACCTGCTGGCTTAGGCCCGCTCCCCAGGAGATTGGGCCTAAGATGGCAATCAGACATCCCTCTGGCAGCCCGGCAGCCATCGGGGGATGTCCACTTGCCAGCGGGGAGCAGGCCTAAACTGCAGTCGGACATTCTTAGCGCTGCTGAGGAGGCGGGAGAGGCTCCCACCACCACCGCTGTACTGGCAGCCATCAGCCTGGCTTGTGGCTGAGCAGAGCGCCTCCCATGTGAGAGTGCCCTGACCACCAGGGGGCAGCTCCTGCATTGAGCGTTTGCCCATTGGTGGCCAGTGTGTGTCATAGTGACCAGTCATTCCCAGTCCTTCTGCTGTTAGGGTCAGTTTGCATATTACCCTTTTACTATATAGGATAGAGGCCTGGTGCATGGGTGGGGGCCGGCTGGTTTGCCCTGAAGGGTGTCCCGGATCAGGGTGGGGGTCCCGCTTGGGTGCCTGGCCAGCCTGGATGAGGGGATGATGGCTGTTTGCAGCTGGTCACACCCCCTTCAGGGTGGGGGTCCCCACTGGGGTGCCTGGCCAGTCTGGGTGAGGGGCTGAGGGCTGTTTTCAGGCTGGTGGGTGACTGAAGCTTCTAGCCTCTCCTTTTTTTCTTTTCTTTTTTTATTCTGGGATTTATTTACCTTCTATGGCTGTCACTGGAACTGAGAGCTGGCTTTAGCTCTGAGGCCCGGCTCTAGCTCTGAGACCTCAGCTGCTGAAAGCAGGTATCTGGGGTGTTTGGCTTTTATAATTGAAACACTGTTTCAGCTCCAGATCTGAGGGCTGAAAGCAGGTTTCTGGGGATTGTTTAGCTTCTATAATTGCAACATAGTTGCTTAGAGTGCAAGCTCAGAGGCCGGCAGCAGCAGGCGAGGAACCTTGGCTTCCTTCTTCACTAGCACAAGCAAGCCTCCTGTTCGCTTCAGCTGCCTGGCTGCCGGCCGCCATCTTGGTTGGCAGTTAATTTGCATATCTCGCTGATTAGCCAATGGGAAGGGTAGCGAAGTTATGGTTAATTACCATGTTTGTCTATTGTTAGATAGGATAACTGTCAAGTCATATGTATATGATTATATATACTAATGTGTGTATGTAATTTATGACTATATATGTATATAGGCACACACATTAATATATGCATGTAAGTCATTTATTTACTCAGTACCTTCAGATTGTTAGGTTAATTTTGGATTAGAAAAAAACAAGATAACGGATAGTAATCTATATATATCAAAGCCTAAGGGACCGGTACAACCAGTTGACCGAACGACTGGTCAACTGATCGCTATGGTACACTGACCACGAGGGGGCAGACGCTCAATGCAGGAGCTTCCCCCTGGTGGTCAGTGCTCTCCCATAGCCAACCTCCCACAGCCGGCCAACCTCCTGCAGTCCCTCCCCCTGCTGGCCAGCCCTGATCGGCCCCAGTCGCTGGCTAGGCCGAGGGACCCCACTATTGCCTGAATTCGTGCACTGGGCTTCTAGTGTATACATAATTTTCTTTTGGTTACTGAAGTGAATCAAAAATAGATCTTCACAAATTTACTTAAGGTTATCAAATTGTTTTTCAGTAAGTTCTTTTGAGTTAATTTAGTTTCTATAGTAATGAGAATTAAGAATATATAATTTTTAAATATTAGTAAAGACATAAATATTAAACGGCTTTTATATATTGCTGTTTAAGTTGTTGAGTTTGGTAACTTTGAAACATGGATCTTTTTTTCTAGAGGTAGTGCTGAGAATATAAAATTTTCATAGATGTTCTAATGAGTTTACGTATATTTATCCTTTTACTGGAAAATTTCTAACTTATCCCATAGTAGAATAGTATAATGAACCTACTTGTACTCATCTCCTAGCTTTACCAACTTTAATAATTAATAACTCATGGCCAATCTTTTTTCATCATGTACCTCCATTTACTCTTCCTGTTGTGTCTGTTCCTCTTCCCCACCCCCCTACAGCTCTGGATGAAGATAAGTTGTATAAGATAAAATGTGATAAAAATTTTAGACAGGAATTTATCAGGGTATATGGTAGATTGTTTTTGTTGTGTATTGTTTACTAGTATATGTATGTACTTAACTATTTTAACTAACAGTTGGATGCAGAAATATTTCTAAGAGAACATGAAAAAATATATTTTAAAACCAGTAGGACTCAAATACTATAGAAACTTTGCTAAATATTCTAGGTTTGATATATAATCTTTCAAATTTATGTTGTTAGGTGGAAGCCAGTCACAAGTTACATATAAACATTTCAGGGATTTTTGCATAGCAGAAGGGGGTTACTTCTTTGTGAAATTTCAGTTTAATAGTGCTTTTCCCTTAGAAAATTTTTTGTCACTACAACATAGATTTTTGTTATTAGGAGCATTATTGTGATATACTAATCATGAAGGCTTTGGTTCCTGCTTCGTTTTTTTAAAAAGTGAAGTTACAATGAAAATGCTAGATAAGATAGGAAGTCATCTTAAAAATTTTTGGTCACCAAAGAATTGGTTTTGTGAAATATAAAGAATTAACAGAAGATAATGGCGGGGGGAGAGGTTGGAAGCACGTCATATTTGCTGTGGTTAGTGGTTCTAATCTGTGTCTTCATTATTATATTTAGATTTTGTAAAAGAACAGATTAAATTCTTATATAAGTGATCAAAGCATATAGCATGTCTTCTTTCCCAGAATTGGGATTACTAACCAGTTGAAATATAAAATTATCAAACAATTTCAATTTATCTGAATATTTTGTTCTTTAATTTATAACTCTTTCTCCCCTTTCCCTTCCCAGGAGAACTGTGTTTATGAAACTGTAGTTTTGCCTTTGGATGAAACAGCATTTGAGAAGACTTTAACACCAATCATACAGGAATATTTTGAGCATGGAGATACTAATGAAGTTGCGGTAGGCTTAAAGTTGCAATTGCAATTTATTTCATTTAGGAGAGAAAACACTATTAAAAGCAAAACATAACTAGAATGATCTTGGATCACTGAATAAGTGTAAGAATTTTCTTTTGTATAAATGAATTTTTAACTAAGAAATGGAGTAAAATTTCATGAATTTAGATTAATTCTTACCTATTTTGGATCTGATGAGGGCTATGTGCCATTTCCTTCCCTGAAAAATGACACAACACGATATTTTTATAATTACAAAGTATTTTTTAAATTGATAGTTTATAAAGTATAATTTTAACTTTATTCCAACATTTAAAACAATAATCCCACTTAAAAACAATCTTTTAAGATCTCATTTTAAACTTTATATGAAAGTATAAAGTAAATTTTTGTGCAAAGAGAAAGCTTTGAAGAAGATCAGAGTATAAACAGTTTATTATGATAATGTGAAATGAATTTCTCCATAAATGCTTATAAAGCAATATTCCTACAAGTAATGTTAATGTATTATAAGGGAGAGGATTAGTTAACTCCTAATGCCAAACTTTGTAATATTATGTGGATTAATAAACTATTTTAGATTTAATTCACATTTTTTTATTGATTTTTAGAGAGAGAGAGAAAGGGAGAGAGAGAAAACAGCAATTTGTTGTTCCACTTATGCACTCATTTGTTGGTCCTGGTATGTGCCCTGACCCAGAATAGAACCTGAAGCCCTGGTGTTATCAGAATGAAGCTCTAACCTACTGAACTACCTGGCCAGGCCTGTAATTCACATTCTTGAGTTCATTGATGTTCAACAGTTAAAGCTTGACAAAGTGGGTCAATATGTAATTTATATGCAGAGTAAGATATATTTATTCTATCCCGCAAAATTTGACTGCCTCTCTGATTATTTCCACATGGGAAGAGGTAAGGATATATAAAATCTTGTTTTTTTTCAAAATTAAAATACTTTTTTTTAATAGGAAATGCTAAGAGATTTAAATCTTGGTGAAATGAAAAGTGGAGTACCAGTGTTGGCAGTATCCTTGGCATTGGAGGGAAAGGCTAGTCATAGAGAAATGACATCTAAGCTTCTTTCTGACCTTTGTGGAACAGTAATGAGCACAAATGATGTAGAAAAATCATTTGATAAATTGTTGAAAGATCTACCTGAATTAGCATTGGATACTCCTAGAGCACCACAGGTTTGTATTATTTTTCTTGCTTATTCTCTTCCTCCACTACCCTTCCAGGTATAGAAATAATGCACATTGCTAGGAAATTGTATTAGACGAAAAAGGAAAATATTGCCCATATTTCCTATCACACAAAAATAGCCCTTTAACATTTTAGTGTATTTTCTCTGAGCTATTCCCCCGCTCCCATTTTCATCATACTATAATTTTATATCTTACTTTCCACGTAGTGCTCTGTATAGTTTTTAGGTCATACTTTTTTTTTCTTATCTGTAAATTTTTTATTATACGTAGTTAAGATGTTTTATGAGCTGGGATTTTTAAAAGATGTAGATTATTATTGAGTATCGAATTTGCTTAACTGATGCTTCTTATAAAATAATCATAGGGAAGACTGTTCCCTTTTGTAGCATTGTGGGTAATAGTTAGAAAATTCATGGTTTATGCTTCTGTTTAGGTTTCTTTTCTCAAAGCCTTATACTTTTTAAAATATATTTTTATTGATTTCAGAGAAGAAGGGAGAGGGGAGATAGAAAAATCAATAGTGAGAGAGAATCATTGATTGGTTGCCTCCTGCACGCCCCCTACTGGGGATCGAGCCTGCAACCCATGCATGTGCCCTTGACTGGAATCGAACCCGGGACTCTTCAGTCTGCTGGCCGACGCTCTATCCATTGAGCCAAACCAGCTAGGGCTCAAAGTCTTATACTTACATTAGACTTAATACATGCTGACATTATAACATGACTTTCTGGTTTGAAATAAAAAGTGTGTGAAATTTTTTTCTGGTTCCTTGACCAAAGTCTTAAATCAAGGTAGGAGCACTTAAACATTAATTTGGGAATAGAGTATAGGTAGGTTAATTCCTAAATGCTGTGATTCAAACATGAACATTTTAAAATATCAGCACTCAGCCCTGGCTGGGTTTGGCTCAGTGGATAGAGCATAGGCTTGTGAACTGAAGGGTCCTGGGTTCAATTCCAGTCAAGGGCACATGCCTGGGTTGTGGGCTCAGTCCCCGGTAGGGGGCGTACAGGAGGCAGCTGGTCAATGATTCTCTCTCATCATTGATGTTTCTCTATCTCTCCCTTTCTCTTCCTCTCGGAAATCAATAAAAATATATTTAAAAAAATAAAATATCGGTACTCATAAAGTTCATATTCATTATAAAATTAAAGAAAAAAGCCAAAATGAAGAAAAATAGTCACTGTTTACATTTTCATGCTAAATGTTCCATTTTACTTTCTGTGGGTATAAGTGTATGTATTTTGTATATTCTTATATTTTTTGTTTTAATAAAAAATGGAATCATAATGAATATGCTATTTGTAAACTTGATTGCCTTTACAGCATAAAATGTAAATATATTTCCCTGTGGCCACATAGTGTATCATCTTATATATGTACTATGTAAACATACTTTAATTTTTTGGACACTAAAGTTTCCAATTTTTATAAGAAATAATGCTATAAACATACTTTCAGACAAATATATTTACACAACTTTTCACCATAAGACAAATTCCTTTCTGAGACAGGTTTTTGAGAAAACCTAGTCCCATTTATTTTTCCCACAAGAAAGGTTTCTCTTGATTTTAAGTCATTGACTTAACAAGTATTTTTAATCACATACTCTGTTTCAGGCATTGTGCAAGGTAAGGTGTTGGGGAGTTAGGAGTGAGCAAAACAGATGTGCTCTTCCCTCCCCCCGCCCCCCATGTCATTTAACTTGAAGGTTAAGTTGTGGGAGTGGTTGCCAAGCATAACTAGTTAGGTGCTGAATGAAAGTGGTGTTGTTTTTTTTTTGAACATTCTAAAAAATACCTACAATTTAGGATTGTTGGTATTGACTGTGTAGTTCAACCAGTCTTCATTTATGTATTTAGAAATTGTAAAGGTTTATTTTAGATTTTTTAATATAGCTTTTTCCCCCTTATTATAGTTGGTGGGCCAATTTATTGCAAGAGCTGTTGGAGATGGAATTTTATGTAATACCTATATTGATAGTTACAGAGGAACTGTAGATTGTGTACAGGCTAGGTAAGTAAATTAATTTTCCTACTTAGAATTTCAAATGAGTTTAAAATTCCACAGGGTTCTATTGAAATGACAGATGAATTAATCAGACATTGTAGACATCTATTTGTCATTTGTTTATATTCTCTACTGTTAAAACAAAATTGAGAGATGGTTGGTCTAATATAGTAGGAAGAGAACATTACTCTAATGCAGAAGTTCTGGGTTTTATTTATTAAAAAATATTATTTCAGAGAGGGAGGAAGAGGGAGATGAGGGATAGAAACATCTATGATAAGAGAGAATCATTGATCAGCTGCCTCATGCATGCCCCCTTTTGGGAATTGAGTCTGAAACCCGGGCATGTGCCCTGACCAGGAATCAAACCATGACCTCCTGGTTCAATGCTCAACCACTGAACCACACAAGCTAGGCAGAAGTTCTGGGTTTTAAACCATTAGCTATCTTCATGTCAAGCTACTCTTCTCTAGACCTCAGTTTCCTTATTTATAAAATGTAAGGATTGAACTTAGAGTTTTCAAGGTCCCTTTAGGTTTAAACATTCTGTAATTATTTAATACTAGAGGACCGATGCACGAAATTTATGCAAGGGGCTTGGCCCTAGCAGCAGCCCCAGCTGCCTTGTGGCCCTGCCCCCCACCTACTGGTCCTTCCGGAAGGTCATTCTGTCCGGACTAATTAGCATATTAGCTCTTTATTATATAGGATTCTAATAAGATGGACAATATTAACAAGGGAGGCCTATTTCAATTTTTTTTTATATTTTTATCTGTCATAGAAATCTTAAGAAATAATGTTTTCCACTCTCGTTCTTTGGTATAATTAATTATAAGCTAAATGTGATATTTGGGAGGTAGGCTATATTTTTAAAAACTATGTGGAAACTTAGGTTTGGATTTAGCCATCCATGTCTTAGGTTTTCTTAGGTGTAGATGTTAATTTTCGAGGACTATTTCAGGTCATAGTGGAATGGTCGCTCTGGTGGGAAGGAAGGCTTGAATTCTATTTTTTCCCCCCAACGTTATCCATGATTTGGTCCAGCTGAAGCATGTCCAAATGTCAAAATTAATTTTTTTTTGTAGAGCTGCTCTGGACAAGGCTACTGTGCTCCTGAGTATGTCTAAAGGTGGAAAGCGCAAAGATAGTGTGTGGGGCTCTGGCGGTGGACAGAAGCCTGTTAATCACCTTGTAAAAGAGGTAACTATATTGGTTTATTATCTTTAACTTAATTTATATGTATTCTTCTAGGAAAATAAACTATGTCCTCTAGCTGATACTTTTGTGGACAAAAATTAACTTCAGTCTTATAGCTGCAAATGGAAAATTGAATAATCTTTGTATATCTGGTTTCATATGATTTTGCTATAAGTTGTCCAATAATTACATAATTGTTACTAAATTTGTATAGTTTCCTTAACTTAAAAATTAGACTGTGTTAAGTTAAAAGGGCTTTTATGATTAAGAAAGCTGTGTATGAACCTTAAAAGAATGCATGAAATCTTTTTCTTATGTCAGTATTTAAATTTCTTCAAATACTATTTCAATTTTGTAGTTATCCAAAAAATATATTTTTTTATGTGAGCATTTTGAAACTGGATAGTCTCAGATTATAAATTATGAATTATGAACACTAGATTAGATTAGAGTGGTAAATTTTTGTAAGGAGATTCACTACCTTTGTTCATGCTTTAAAATATGTAATTAATTTCACTACATTAAAATGCCAGATTTGGTCTCTGGATAATCTTTCCCTGGCAGTATGTTTCTATGTCAAGAAACTAACAAACAAAAAATTAATCTTATTTGCAGATTTTTAAGAAAATTAGAAGATTTGAAGTTTCATGTGCTTCTAAATTTAGATTATAATCTTTATATGTGACTATAGTTTTGAAAATAAATTTCTTAGTGACATGTTTACTTATTTGAGTGTTAAGGACCTTAACCCTTTGCGATCCAATTTTATTTTTGGAATTCAAACAGTCTGGTCCAAATTAATTGATAGGATTGAATGTTGAACCGGTTTGCGGTGTCGACCTCAGCCTCGACGTTGGACCTGCTCCTAGCGCCTGGTCTGTCGAGTTAGCCTCCACGTTGGACCGAAAAGGGTTAAAATGTAATTAGAGCTTTGACCAGTTTGCTTTTATGTGTGTAAAGATAGATGGGTTGGTGTTTGTAATCTTGTAATATCATAATTGCAATATCTTTTTTAAAATTAAAAAGTTACTAGAGCAATTGAGGTATAAAAAGTCAAGATACTAAGGCAGTTTGGCAAGAAAATGAAATAAAAGACACCTAGATTGTAAAGGAAGTAAATTCTCTAGTCCCAGCTGACATGAATCTGTATAAGGAAAACCAAATGAATCGACAAAAATACAAAAGCAAAGAGCCAAACTATTAATAAATGAATTCAGCAAGGTTGCAGTATGTAAGATAAATATAAAAAGTTCAGTTTTCTGCACACTGTGATCTAAAATGAAATTAAGAAAACAACAATTATATTTTCAATAGCATAAAAAAGATGAAAATAGGAATAAACATCAAAAGAAGTGTCTTATACAGTGAAAACTGTATAACATTGTTGAAATGAAAGAAGACCAAAGTAAATAGAAAGCTATCCCATCTTTATGTATTAGAAGACTTAATATTGATAAGATGGTAATACAGATGGTCCCCAATTTGGGATGGTTTGATTTGATGATTTTTTGACTTTGTGATGATGGGAAAGCTATATGCATTCAGTAGAAACTATACTTTGAATTTTGATCTTTTCCTGGGCTAGCAATATGCAGTATGATTCTTTCTTGTGATGCTGGGTAGTGGAAGCGACATGATTTTGCCTAATTTAGGCTAATGTGAGTGGTTCTGAGCATGTTTAAGATAGGCTAGGCTAAACTATGATGTTTGGTAGGTTATGTGTATTAAATGCATTTTCGACATGGTATTTTCAACTTATGTCTTTACTGGAACATAATCCCATCATAAGTTGAGAACTATCTGTACTCCCCCACAAATTAATATTTTGAGAAACTCCCAAACTATTTCATGTTATGTAAATTATCTCAACAAAAAATGGTGAAAATAAAAATTAAAATAAAACTACGCAGTATTTCAGTTTGACATTATTTGGATGTTCACTTACTTTTACATGGAAAGATGAGTTGGACAAAGAGGACTTTTTGAAATGTATACATGTATTCATAATTGATAATTCTCAAAAATTTATGGAACCTGATGGAAAAGATCTAAACCTTCAGTTACATAACAGTTTAAAAACTAAGTAATATTTAAATAATAAATTAATTATAGAGTGAAAATGTTATTCAAATGACATATATAAATATTTACTTTCTAAAGCATAATAGGGATTATCAGGATGTATTCTGTTAATCAAATTGTATTTTACCTTTTATGAAATATGTTGTGAAATATGAAGTAGAGACACTGAAATTACTTTATTCAGTTCACCAGCATCAAGCATCTTCTAGGTGCATAGGTGACTTTAGCACATATTGTATAGGAGAAAACATTCTTAATTGACATTCTCTTGTTCAAAAACTTTTCCCCATTTTCTCTAGGGCCATAGATGTTACTGTATAAATTTGAATAAGACAAGACTTGCCTCTTTCGCTATATATTATTGGAAGCTGAATTACTGATGAACGTTTTATTTTTTTTTTAAAGATATATTTTATTGATTTTTTTACAGAGAGGAAGGGAAAGGAATAGAGAGTTAGAAACATCGATTAGAGAGAAACATTGACCAGCTGCCTCCTGCACACCCCCTACTGGGGATGTGACCGCAACCAAGGTACATGCCCTTGACCGGAATCGAACCTGGGACCTTTCAGTCCGCAGGCTGACACTCTGTTCACTGAGCCAAACCGGTTAGGGCATGATGAACGTTTTAGATAATGGTTTTCAAATCCTCAGTTGTAGAGAAAAGTATATGGAAATCTTTACCCTGTCTAATAAAGCCCTGATGTTTCATTTTTTGGCTCCCAGTACAATATTAAGGTCATCTTGATGAAAGGGAGAATTTGTACCACTTCAAAAGTTCATTTTGAGACTTTCAGTTAGTGCCCTCTAGTGGTATTTAAGATCCCTTGTTTTACAGGGAGTATTAAAGAATTATGGTCACAACTCAGGCCATGTACATCTTAAGTCTATTCATAACTCTCAGTGATTATTAAGACACACGGAATCACTTCATTTTCTTCATAATTATGAACCATTTAAAATTGGAGATTTACTTTTAAGCATGAAAAAAATTTAATGATTGTGACATGTCAAGTCTATATGTTCTTAGCTATTTGTAACCTGCTATTTCATCATGTAATATGTTGAGATGAGGGTAAGTAAATCCTTTAGACAAAGCACAATTATTTAAAAAATCAGAAATTCTAACACATCTCAATTTTTGAATTTAATAGATTGATATGCTGCTGAAAGAGTACTTACTCTCTGGAGACATATCTGAAGCTGAACATTGCCTTAAGGAACTGGAAGTACCTCATTTTCACCATGAGCTTGTATATGAAGTAAGATTATTTTGATATCCCAAAGAGAATTATTGTGTTCCTTTTTTAAAAATTGATTGTAGAGAAGGAAGGGAAAGAGAAACATCAATGTGAGAGAGATACATCGATCGGTTGCTTCCTGTACATGCCCTGACCGAGGATCAAATCCGCAACCTAGGTATGTGCCCTGACCAATAATTGAACCTAAGACCTTCTGGTGCACATGGGACAACGCTCCAACCAACTGAAACACACCAACTAGGGCTTTTGTGTTCCCTTTTTTGTACTACAGTGACATAATACTTCTTTAATAATATACATCTTGTTTTTTTGAAAATCAATGAAAAACATCCTCAGGTGAGGATTAAAAAACAAGTTACTATTAATGGAGAAAATTGTTTTTAAACTTTTATAAGAATTATAGTTACAGATTAAAGGAATCTGATACAGTTTCTTACGTGAATTAATGACCAAAAATACATTCATGCATTCATTCAATTTTAAGGCCATTGTAATGGTTTTGGAGTCAACTGGAGAAAGTACATTTAAGATGATTTTGGATTTGTTAAAATCCCTTTGGAAATCTTCTACGATTACTCTAGACCAAATGAAAAGAGTAAGTATAACATTATTTTGAACAATTTTTAAGCTTACACCTTAAATATATGATTGAATAAAGATAATGAATTGTTAATGAAATTTTCCTTTAGATATGTTTAGCAGTAGTATGTCTATAGCTTTTTGTTTGTTTGTTTTTAAATAGCAGTGCTTATGTTTGAATCTCTTGCAGCCATTTTTTGGAAAGTAACACTTCAATAGATTTTTTTAACCTGCATTTTAAAAGATGATTGTGTGTTCTTCCTTAAGAGTTCTATTTCTAAGATATAATTTCTATTTTATATTTAAGGAGAAACAAACATTTAGCAAATTATACTTTAAAGTAATTTATTCCTATTTAAAATTGTATGCATTTGCTGTTAAAGTGTTGGTGAGGTTCTTACTTGCCTTTTATTTTTTAAAAATGTAAATGTACAGGGGTGGGCAAAAGTAGGTTTACAGTTATGTGGGAACAGTTTATTGTTGTACTATTTATTAATTATTGTATTATTTGTACTACAACTGGAAACCTACTTTTGCCCATCCCTGTATATAGAGAAGTATATGGGAAAGAAATGTGTCCTATATCTGAGTCTGCCTCAAGATCATTTGAGAGAACAGATTTAAATAAAACATCCTATAACAAATGTACCTGTTTCAAGGTTCAGACCTGACTTTAGTCTTATTATATAAACATTTGGCCTTAAATATAGCTTGATGACAGTGAAGAATTGTATGGCATTATGTATTTTATATGGGTTAACAATTCTGTATACAATTTCATTGTTTTAGGGTTATGAGAGAATTTATAATGAAATTCCGGACATTAATCTGGATGTCCCATATTCATACTCCGTGCTTGAGAGATTTGTAGAAGAATGTTTTCAGGCTGGAATAATTTCCAAACAACTCAGAGATCTTTGTCCTTCAAGGTATTTTTACTACTTTTTTCAACTTAAAATACTGAGGTGCTTAGAAGGCTAAGCTAATTTTCTATCATTCCAGTTCTGTCAGAAAAATAATACTAATACTTCCCTGGAGCCACTCAAGAGTGAAAGTCATCTATTTTGTGTTTGTGGAGAAACAAGGGTGAAGCTTATTTTGCCCCCTTGTGAGTTTAATCTCATAAAACCACTGGAAGTCAAAATTTGTGGAGTTCTTTTCTAAGAAGTTTAAATACTATTTCAGTATCGATGTTATCATCAATGAGAAAATTGAATCTTAGGGAGGTGTAATATGCCTTTTCTAAGGTCACAAATGGTAGAGGCCAAGGATCAATCCAGACTTTTTCTGGCTTCAAAGATGTTAGGATCATTCCTGTACTCTTAAGTTGCTTTCTTTTGCTCCTTCATAGAATGGAGAATAGGGGCTAAATGGATCTTACTTTATATTTGTGCTATGAGGATCTAACTCTTTAGTAATAGCTAATCTTTGTGAGTCTATTTTACATACATTTTAAGTTTTTATAATTTTCATCAAAAATTTTCAGTTTGTGTATTTTAAAAAAAAATATACTTTATTGATTTTTTACAGAGAGGAAGGGAGAGAGGTAGAGGGTTAAAAACATCAATGAGAGAGAAACATCGATCAGCTGCCTCCTGCACATCTCCTATTGGGGATGTGCCTGCAACCAAAGTACATGCCCAGGAATCGAACCTGGGACCCTTCAATCCGCAGGCCGACGCTCTTATCCACTGAGCCAAACCAGTTAGGGCTTTTTTTAAAAAAAAATATATTTAAAAGTTTGTGTATTTTTATTTAAGTATATTGTGAGTGTTAAATCTCAGAGAAATACTTCTTGGCAGTGTCCCTTGTAGAAAATGGAAGCCATTAAGAGAGAAGGAAAAGATAACAGTGGAAGATATAATTTAATGGCTTTGATAAAAATATTTGAAAACGTAGATCTCTACTTGGTGATGGCATTCTTTATGTATTGATGTGCCAAGTGGTATACATCTGTTAAACTGTCAACTTTGGCAAGACTTGTCGCAACTTACTGTTTTGTTCCCCACCTTGGTCTCCTAATATTACAGTGTATGTCTTTATGTTCACAAAAATATAGCTGGTTTACAGTTAGACTTAGTGTGAAAAAGGGTCAACACCCTGGCACTGGCTTTTGAAAAGTTTCAGCCTCTGTTCAAAGGTCTAACCGGTTACTTCTGTTATGGCCTTACTATCAAGTGTCATTTGAAGAGATACCTAAACTTTTGACTATTTATCCTCTGTCCTTTTGCTTAGTTTGTGAACTGCACATTTGTGTGTGGTCTCAAGTGCCTGTGAATGTTGGTCTAGGGTCAGAGAATAAGGGCTAATTCTGCCCAAGCTCTGTTTTCCGCTTACTGCTTTAGGCTGGTGGTCAACTATTTCTCCTGGGCTGTTGCTACTACATGTAGCTAGAATGTGGTTACAGTACAGAGCAAGGTCACTTGAAATAACATGAATCCCCAAAAGGGGTATGGACTGGAATTAATTTGATTCTGATTTATTTTTCCATATTCAGGTTATGGCTTTTCTACATCTGAAAAAAAATTTTTAAAGATATTTTAAACATGGATATTTTGATAGGTTGTATTGCTCTAGTTTGCGTAATTCCAGATTATATTGTTGTTTCCTATTTGGCTGTTTAGCTTTCAAATAATATTAATAACAGAAATAAATATTAAATTTCTAACAAACGTTTGTCCTATATTTTAACATTTTTTAACATGACACCCTTTGAACGATGAACTTATTTTAATAATTAAGCTTTTATTCAATAGGATATTGAATTCTAGGAAAAATATAGCAGGAAAAGAGTTTTATAAAAGCTTTAGAGCCATACTGACTTTTTAAAAAAATAAAACCTTTCAAAACTTAATGAATAACCTAAGTTGTTTAAATTGACTGTAGTCAGAATTTGTATGTTTTCATGTTTATGTTCTTTGCATTACAGGGGCAGAAAACGTTTTGTAAGTGAAGGAGATGGAGGTCGTCTTAAACCAGAGAGCTACTGAATATAAGAACTCTTGCAGTCTTAGATGTTATAAAAATATATATGTCTCTGAATTGTAAGAGTTGTTAGCACAGTTTTTTTGTTTGTTTTTAAACACTTGTTTTGGTACAAGGCATTTCGGAAATTTTATAGACTTAAATTTAAGGGGAATTTTTAAAGGAAGTGTTTCCTTTTTTTTTTTTTTTTTTTTTTGATGGTGTAAAGGAGGGACAGAAAAGTAACCACTTCTTAAGTGGAGTGTTCTCATAAGCTACCTTTTGTAAGTGCCATGTTTATGACCTAATCATTCCAAGTTTTGCATTGATGTCAGATTGCTATTCCTTTCTTTCAAGGACAGTGTTTTTGTAGTAAAATCACTGGTTTATACAAAGCTTTATTTAGGGGGTAAAGTTAAGCTGCTAAAACCCCATTTTGGCTGCTGCTGTTGAAATACTGTGCTTTGGGAGTAAAAAAAAAGTTATTTCTTTGTCTTAAAGAATTTTGAGAAAATGAGTTAGTCAGGAGACTTATTCATCTTTCCAGGGAACATATTGATTGGTCTTAAAGACTAGACAGTTAAGTAAATGGTGGCTGGAACATTTATTTTTCTACAAAACTGGAAAAATGAACCCGGTTCTAGAAGAATGTATGACAAAATAAAACATGTGAAACAGTGTTGATTCTTTATTGGGAGTACATTTATTTTAGGTTTTTAAAAATACTTTTATTCATATAGCAAATAAAACCATATAAGAGAGTGCATTTGAACCTAGTGAATCTAAACTTTCTTACAAACTTTTATATCAAACATACACTAGTAATAATTTCTTTTACTATTATACTTGGGAAATGCATGCACACTTTAAAAAAGTTTTTATCTGTAGCCTAAGGAAATTTCTAAAATATGTTACCTTTCATCATTCTCTTTTTTTGTTGTTGTTAACCCTCACCCAAGGATATTCTTTCCATTTATTTTTTTAAATTTTTTTTGAGAGAGTGGAAGGGATGAAGGGAAGGGAAAAGGAAGGGATTCGCAAAAGAGAAGAGAAGAGAAACATCAATTGGTTGCCTCCTGAACACATCCCGGCCTAGTAGGGTCCGGGGATTGAATTTGCAACTCAGGTACATGCCCTTGACTGGGAATTGAACCTGAGACCCTTCGGAGCCAAACCAGCCAGGGCCTTTTTTCGTCATTAGTAAGTTCTATTACCAAATAATGTCTGAAAATATTATTCTTCAAGAGACTCAAAGTTTTGCATTTATTCAGTGTCTGAGAAAATAGTTACCAATAAATAATTATCTGAAGAATAGTCACATTTCTAACTTCTGTTGCAGAGCCTTAATTATGCAGGAAGGCCTTAAGGTCTGCTAATTTAAATTGTCTATTATTGATTGCAGCCAACAAACCAAGGATTATATTCAGAATTTACAAAGGTATTTTTGGGAATATATTTATTACAGGTTTCAGTACTCTCTTTTAGGACTAACACTACAAATTGAATTTCATGTTTATCTCATGGGCTCTTTTAAATCCATGTTGTTTTCCATTTCTAGGGTTTTGATACCTGGATGATAAAGGTAGCCAGTAATTCATTAAGTCCTTGAAATCAGTATAATTAAAAGCTCATGTGAGGGTTTCTTAAGTCTATTTTAAGAAATAGAGTTTTGTCATGACTAGTAGGATCTAAGGCAAAATAGCCTTAAACATGATATGTCACACCAAGTTCATAAAAAGTTTTAAAAATTAGGTAATGTAAAAGTCCATCATGAACACTTAATGCAAGATTCGAATGTATCTCTAAATTCAGTTTTTAATAAACATTAAAAATTCTCTGAATATAAAAGTTGTATTTAGTCACTTATGCCTAAGAATGTTATCAGCTGTGCAATAGTAATGGTGAATACTAACTTAATTGGTAGTTCTAAAAACTTGGGTAAAAAAAACACAAGATTTGGGTTAGTTTGGTTAATGGCTTATATTCATTACAAACCATGCAAGTTTCATTAGTCTTGGGTATTTTATATTACCTATATGAATATCAGTTTTATTAACACATACTACTTTCAGCGTACAGGTGGATTATTTTCTAGCTACTGTTAATAGTAAGGTAGAAGTGCTAAGTTATTCAGCGAGTCATTTGCTGTTGGTCCTTTTTTGTCATTTCTTGTTGGCGAATTGTTTCTTGTGCTGCTTGCTGCATTTTCTCCAGTTTTTCCATAGTTAGAGATTTTAAGGGTAAAAGTTTGGGTTTACACAGCACCATTGTGGTTATATCTTCCACAGACAACTGCCCTAAGTTTAAAAAGAAATAAGAATTTGATTGAGATAATCCATAGTTTGGCAGTTTAGATTTGCAGTTAGAATGAAGGTCTAAAAACTTAACCCATTATTAATGAAAATCTCTTGTTCTCATAGTCTACCTCTGTAACATTTCTAAATTTTATAAACATAAAAGCATTTAATGCTAGGGAGTTCATGAGAAAGACAAGTTTAAAACTTTATAGCTAAGATTCTAAGTCATATAAAGACACAAAAGATTTGGAAGAAATGCATAGTACCTAAAAATACTTACATAGTGAAGTATGGCATTAATTTAACACAAATATTTCAGATTCCTGAGTGTTTCACTGAAAACTTCAGCATTTCTTACTATTGTTTGATTTAGGTTTTTTTTGTTTGTTTGGGTTTTTTTTTTTACCCAGATTCAGACCTTATTTAATACTAGAGGCCCGGTACACAAATTCATGCACGAAGGTGGGGGGGGGGAGGGACCACAGGAGGTTGGCCGCTGGCCCTGAGGAGGGAGCCGGCCCTTGGCCCCCCTGGAAAAGGGGCCATATCTGCCACCACCCACCCCTGGTACCCTGTCCCAGCCGGGGCCTGGAGAGATGACAGTCGCCGGGCCAGGTGCGGAAGGAATGGACACTGGACGCCACTGCCACTGTCGGTGCCCCGCCTCCGCCCTCCTCCTCCCCTCGCCTCCACACCGCCACCACGGCAGGCGGGCAGCCCCTGGGGAAGGGAGAGGACAGGAGCAAGACAAACCCTCGTGTCAAGGGCTGACTTTCAATAGCTCACAGCAAGGGAGCTGCTCTGCTACCTATGAAACCCCGACCCAGAGCAGGTCCCTATGAATGGTGGGGGCCGGCCAGACGGGGAGGGGCCGCAGGAAGGTGGCTGTGGGAGTGCACTGACCACTAGGGGCCAGCTCCTGCATTGAGCGTCTGCCCCCTGGTGTTCAGTGTGTGTCATAGCAACTGGTTGACCAGGTGTTCCGGTCATTTGGTAGTAATGGTCGCTTAGGCTTTTTATACACACACACACACACACACACACACACACACACATATATATATAGAGAGATTATGGTGTAATACAGTGTGCTTTTTCATTAAGAATTTTGGTTGTAACCTGCAATCTTGAATATAACGGGCTTTCTAGGTTTAAGAAACAGTGCTTCATTTGTCATCCTTTTACTGGGAAAAATAAAGCGATTGATGGATAGTAAATGTGGGACACAACACAGTAGTTTCAGATTCTTAGCTATTGAGCCCACTATGAGACACTGCCTATTACTTTTTATGTTCCTAGTATATCCTATCACTTAAGTAATTGTGATTTAAATACCTTGTTTTGGAAGAACTTCCCGGAACATGGGCTTCACCTCTGCCATATCTGAATTGCTGGATATAGTTTTTCCTTCAAGAAGAAATCAATTAGTATTATTCAAGAATGAATTCCCAATGTATCGCATGAGACATTTCCATTGTAGTTTAAGAAGTAAAATCAAATCCTTAAACTACCTATCCTCATATAATTTCCCCCTTAATTTCTTGTGGATTTTGTAAATGAAACAAGGTTGAGCTAGTTCATATAAGCATCTAGATCTTGTCAACTTTCACTGGTTAATAGTGTTAATTGGAAGACTGCGTATTCTAAATTTACCCCCCCCCCCAAGTGAAAAATTGGCAGAAAAATTGGCACTTGTTTAGACAAAGATAATTATCTAGTAGATGTCAGCTGAGGAAAAGGGCATTTGTGTGCGGCCACCTTGGTTTACTGATAATATCTTCCCTGAATGATGGGTGACGTAAATAACATGACCATTTGGAAGGAGGTAAGAGGTAATTAAGGGAAAGGATGAGGTAGGAGGTAAACATTTCCTAACATTCTCACTTCTCTCAATAGCTGGTTTCTACTTTAATCCTTTTACTATAATGGCAAAAGGCATCCTAAGGATCAGTTACTGGCTGCACACTTTCAAGTTGTAAGAAAGTAGCAAACAGGTGAAATTGGCTCTTGAAGAACAGAAATGAGGTATGCTTTCAGTTTGCTATTCTCCTCAATATAGAAATGCTAAATACCAATGAATACCCTTATATGAGTATTTTGTGAATATCGTAGCATATACGCCATCTCTGGCTGATGACTTTTGTTCCCACTGTTACATCCCAGATTATAGCTTCGCTATACATTCAAGGTATTCTGGACGTAATTTGTGGCCTGATCCCTTTCCAAACAGGTGATTCTCCAGATAGTCCCACCCTTTTTGTAATATTTCATCATACCGATGCTGATGCAACCTTACCATGTGTCTTTCACAACATCACCACCACAGATTTATTATTTATAAAGTGGTGATGCTGGCTTGGTGCCTGCCTTAACCGCCCACTGCAAATGAGTTGTAATCAAATGAAGCTGCTTAGTTATTCCCACTCCACTACTACTTTGACATTCCTGATAAAAGCTTCCTACTCTTCATTCACCAAGCCTCTTCCCCTCATTCAAATTCCTATTCCAGAACATCTAAGCAGCAATCTTACCACTATGCTGCTCTTTCTGGGAGTGAAGATGAAATGGGGGATGGACTAGAGAATAAAGCAAGCAACTCATCACTAACTGGAATCTGCGATAACTGCCTATGCAATTTCCTTAGAATGCATAGTTTTTCCTGCCACATTCTTTCCTTCTTGCACTTTGGCCTGCCAATGGTAGGTACCTAGTAATCATCCCTACCCCCTCCTCCCCGCCCCCGCGGGTTATGTTGAAGGCTAGTAACACTACAGATACTTGATTACCCTGAATATAACTGAAACAACATAGCATCTCCATTACAGATATCAATGAAAATATTCACTACGCCCTTATTTGGGCCTAATCTGACATTGCTACTGAAAAGGATATTATACCCTATAGATGTTGATAAATGTGAAGGAAATACATAACAGCTAAACATTTTTGTCACCAACTTTTTATCAAAATGTTAAACTGGTGGGTGAACAATACTAAACTCTTAGCTGTTTTATAGATTAGCAATGCCAGCCACCCGAAATTCAGTCATTCCTTTGCTTTCTTTGGTATATACCTCTTTCACATCCAAATTCTGTCCGGAGGAAAACAGTGACACTTGCTCCACCAAACCTTAGTTCTCAGTTTGACTAAGCTGCCATTGTTATGGAAAGGGTGTGGGCCAAAGGCCAGGTGTGGGGAAGATCAGTGCCATCACTTGCCTGGGTGGAATGCTTTACTAGGGTTGGTTCTTGTTCCTCGGTCCCCTTAGGCACTGGCAGGAGAGAAACAGGAAGGGAAGGGCTAAAATAAGCATGGTGGTGGCTGGATGGGCACATCGGCAAAGCTACACTGTCTTCATAATCAACTGCCCAGGGAGTCAGAGTAGGAAGGAGCATTAATTTCCTCCAGATGGCCTGCTACTAGCCAAACCTGGGTGTTCTGTTAGGTGTAATATGGCCTAAGAAGCTGTGACTGCTCTAAGGGTACTTTCTCATTGGGAAAATGTGTGTAACAGACAGATGGGCCAAAGAAGAAACATGCCAGCTATGGCTGAAATTCATGTTTATCATAAAACTGCCACGTCATTCAATTCAATAATTATCTGTCTACCATGTGCCAGGCACTAGTAATTAGTGAACAAAAGAGACAAAAAACAAAAACTTTGCCCTTTTGGAGTTTGCAGACTAGAATAAGAGGAGAGAAATAATACAATGCTAGGAGATAGTACATGATATAGAAAAAATAAAGGGATTTAGGAATGCTGGGGGTCATGCATTGCAGTTTAAACAGGAAAATCACTACAGCCTCATTAAGGTAAAAATCATTCTCATTTTGGTGTGTATGTTATGTCTTTTAAAATTACAAAAAAAGTCAAAAGCCTGATAGTATCTGCAGTTAGAGAAGAGAAATGGGCCCGCTCTGTTGTTCGGTGCGTTTGTTGGTAGATTTCTTTTAGGATATTTTATAATAGCTATCAATATTTTGTAGTATTTACAAAAACTAAATACGTACATTTTCTTTGACCCAAACATTCTACTAAAAGTAATGAGCCCTAAAGAAACATAGCAGGGGTGGATGAAGATGTAAGAATAACAATGTTCATTAAAGCACTGCATTGATAAGATAAAATGTTCAGCAATGGATAAATGGGTAAATGTTCACCAATATGTCAAAGGTTACATTATGGAATAGCCATACAATGGAATCATATGGAACACCATGCCAGACTAGAGCACTAAAGCATACTTTTGAAGCTCGAGACTATATATCAGTGGCCTTCAAGTTTTATGCTTCCATAACCCCCACAGATTTTGAAAAACTAGGTAGATAAACTACTCTTTTACATATTTCTAAATTGACATAAATTTGTTATGTTTACTTCTAAAGGATATAATTTCCAGCATACTTAAAAATAACTTTTATATCAGTCTTTGAAAAATATACCCAGTATAATCTAAATATTAGAGTAGTTTGATAGCTACCATTATCCATTAACTAAAAAAGAATTTATTTTTTATTTTACATTGTTTTCTCCCTAGACCTCTTATTTCCATTCCACTTAATTTTATTTTAATATATTTTCATCCTTGAACACATTTTAATTATCATCCTATCATACTTCTACAAAAAATATTTATAGATGTAAATGAAAACTTAAAAAATATTCTGGATTGAGTTGTTAAAATTAGTGAAAAATTGATCAAAACAAATTGCACATTAACAAAATGATTACTGAACATAAAAAATAAAGTTAATGGCTATATATCTGGTATTAAGCTTTGGATGTAAACACTGGAATTGAAAAGGATGCTGTTTTCTATGATGATGATTATTCTTTCAGAGTAGAAAATAAATGTAATATAAGAAGGAGAATTTGGGATCATGTGTGCCTATGCAAACAGATTTTTTCTTTCAACAAAGGTACTAAATGTCTGTAATGTGCCAGCCACAATTAAATGAGGGAGATACAGTGGATAAGAACCAATTCCTCTCCTTGAGGAATTTGGGGGAGGTGAGATGGAGGAGAAACCCAAGTAAATAAATAGGTACAATTGAACATAGTTTAAATTTAATAAAAGCATATCTGCTGTGCCTTAAGAAACCAAAACCATGAGTGACTTGGCTCAGGATGCGTGACAGTGGCTGGTCTCTTAAGAATCACTACACGACATTGGGACTAGTCCCAGAAGGATGAATGGGGGTTCACTATGAAGAGAGCTGGTTATGAGGCAAGGGGAAGGTGTTCTAGACAAAGTGAAAAATATGTTCAAAGAAAGAAGCATTAAAAAAAAAAAAAAAAGCCCAGTTCTGGTTGGGTGGCTCAATTTGTTGGAGCATCGTCCCACATACCAAAAGGTTTAAGTCCCAGCTAGGGCACATACCTAAGTTGCAGGTTTGATCCCCAGTCGAAGTGTATGCAGGAGGCAACCGATCAATGTTTTTCTCTGTCTCCCTCCCCTCCTTCCCTTCTCTCTGAAAAATCAATGAAAACATTCTAGGGTGAGGATTAAAAAGCCCCCCACAAAACTCAGTGTATGTACTGTGGTGGGACTGGCAAGGTGGAGGCCAGTTCATGCTCAGCCTTGACCGAGCCAAGAGCTTGAAGTTCAGATTTAAACGTCCATCACCAATCCCCGTGTCCCCCTACACCTTTTGGGTGATAAGGAAATGATCAAGGATGACTGAGATTTCAAGCTAACATGTTTGAGTGGATGGTTGCAGGTATTAATGTAAGTTGGGAACACAGGAGAAAAAGGTTAGGAGGGAAAGGTAAAGACCATGAATGAGGTTCAGGCCCACTGAGTGTGGAAGTCCAATAGGAAAGTAAAAAGAACTGGAGGCCCAGAGAGTCAGTGCTACAGTAGTTTAAGCTACACACATGGCTATACACTGAGTGGCCAGATTATTATGACCACCCCATCAGTACTTCGTTGGGCCACCTTTTGCCTTCAATACTGCGGCTATTCTTCTTGGCATTGACTCCACAAGATGTTGAAAGGTGATGCGAGAAATCTGAAACCATGCCTGATGAATAGCACTGTCCAGTTCTGTGAGATTTGATGGTTGTGGAACCAGCTGCCTGATGGCTCTTTTAACTTCATCCCACAAATGCTCAATTGGATTGAGATCTGGTGATTGTGGGGGCCACCTAAGCAAGATAAAGTCTCCCTCATGTTCTTGAAACCACTCCTGAACAATATGAGCACCATGGCATGGCGCATTGTCTTGTCGGAAGAAGCCATCTCCACTGGGATACGCCATCAACATGATAGAATGAACTTAATCAGCAATGATACTTAGGTATGTTGTGCTATTCAGATGTTTATAATGATCTGGCCCTCTAGCAACTTCAGCGCAAAATTATAGCTAATTTGCCTACAAATGTCAGGTTGTCATAATAATTTGGCCACTCAGTGTAATCTCACCTAAGAAGGATGTGGAAAGATGGCAGATGGTGGTAGGATTGGTGGTATAGAGTATATAGAGATCAGAGTATAGTGTAGTGTCTAAGAGAAGGACCTGGAGACAGATGAGTCATTTAAACAAATTAATTTTCTAGGCCTTAGTTTCATTGGTAAAATAAAGCTTATAATAGCATTGACTTAGTTTATTAAATAAGAGAATTAATGGTAAAGCCATTAGACCAGTCCTTAGCACATGTAAAAGCTCAATAAATTTCAGTGACTCTTACTGTTATACCATTACAGTGTTGTCCTTAAATTAGATACTTAGGAATAATAGCTTATTGACATGTATTAGCGTTATAGAGGCTTATTAATAAAACAGAATGAACCCGGCTAATGTGGCTCAATAGTTGAGCATCGACCTATGAACCAGGAGGTCACAGTTCCATTCCAGATCAGGGCACATGCCCGGGTTGCAGGCTTGATTCCTGGTGGGGGGTGTGCAGGAGGCAGCTGATCAATGATTCTCTCATTGATGTTTCTATCCTTCCCTCTCCCTTCCTTTTGGAAATCAATTAAAAGTATATATATTTATTTAAAAAACAAAAACAATGAAGAAAAACCTACAGGCAAGCAGGAACACTTTATAATTGTCCACTCATTCCTTCACACACTTTTTATCTTAAAAGTTATCTTGAAGAATACTTTCAATGCCTACAAATCTACTTTAGCTTCTTTCCTACAGTTTATCATAGTGGCTCTTAATTTTTAGTTTGCTTAAGAATAACAGAAGTGTTTTAGTACAAAATCATGTATTTTAACTACATAGATATTCAAAGGGATTTCTATAGTAATTTTGAAAAAATCTTTTACCCTAAGAGGTAACTTTTGAATTGAATTACTCATTTACTCACCCTCCATTGCATCCCCTCATACATAATTAAATTTAACAGACTCAAACCAGGTCTGTCTTGTCCAACATCAATAGCTGGTGAGTAGAGAAATAGAATTTGAACTCAAGCCTGACTCCAAAGCCTGGTCTCTTCAGTTTCCTCTCTGTGGGAATGGCCTGAAGATCCCCAAATGGATTTAATATGGTGCCCCATTGCAAGAACACCAACATTTAAGATAATAAGAGGAGAGTAGACTATAGAGTGTAGAAGCCAATGAAGGTTAAAGTAATATGATCTTCAATTTCTGCTGAAATGGGCAGTTTTGAAGCTACTAATTATCTTTGCAAAGGAGGATGAAAATAAAATGAATAGAACAAAAATCTCAAGATACAAATGTAAGTGCAGCATACTGACTAAGGCACTGCATTTTTTTCTCTTTAGTTTGAGAATTGTGTCAAAATCAGATTACTGTATGGCTCTAAAGGAGGATTCAGCATTCCAGTTCTGTTTGATACTACCCTGAAAGAAATTTAGCAGGAAAAAATACTGCTTTTTATTTGTGGTCTTTGTTTATAGCATTAGCATTATTTTTAAAAGATGCCACTGGAACTTTAAAATCGCAACCTTAATTAGAAATATGCAACGCTTTAAAAGTTACAAGTTTTGTATTTTTTCTCACAGATACATGAACATATGATAAGCCCAAGATCATGGGTTAAAGAGCTAGACAAGACTATTAGCTTTAAATTGTAATCTAGTTTCATCTAGGCATCTGGAAAATGTAGGCTATAGTCATATGGGGGCAGACAAAGAGAATAGATTACTAAAATCCAAATTCAATTCCTGGTAACGCAAAGCATCATATACTATGGATCAGAAATATCAAAATTAAAACATACTGTGGGTGCCAAAGCCAAGTCTTGGTTTCTAAAAATGCTCAGTACAGTATTTAGATATTTTTAAAACTGTCCTCCTAAGTCACACTAGTCTCCTCAATCCATTTTTAACCTTTGCGAGGTGCCCCAAGGAGCCATTCTGTAGGTCAATGTAGTTATCTTCCATATGTGCCTACCACTCCAACCAGCCATTAGCTCTTCATCATAATTCTTCTTATCCATCCATTAATTTATCTAAAACTTACCAGCTTATCCTAATTGTACAGGACCCAATTTTAAATGTTTGAATTTAAATGCTTCAGAGTATCTAGGATTCCAAGTATTTTAAATAAGCTTCGACAGTAAAATCCAATTTATCATTTAAAACAAGTTTGTACTGGAGTTTGTCTTCTTTGTTTCCTTTGTTTTCTAAGTATCATGTTTATACCTTAAATAGTGTACAGAACTGTATTCTGGATGCTCTAGTGCTGTGTGACCTTGAATACATTGTGTAACCAATTGGAGGTCTGATTTTCTTATAAAAAACATGTTTAGTATATGTCCTGGGTTTCAAAGTTTAAGTGGAAAGTGGATATAAAAGTGCTTAGAAATATTGTTTGACCCTTATTATCCCAGGTCTGATTTTCATATTGCTATAATAAAGGATTTGCTCGATTTTCAGTTAAGTACCTTTCTACACTAAACATTCTTTGAGTCCTCATTAGCACCATGGTAACTATAAGACAATATGAAGGTGTTTTCCATTTAAAATCAGTTTTACTTATTTATTTTTCAAGAGCATGTGCTGGCAAATGTGTTCTTAAATATATATATATTAATATAGTTTATATTTTATTACTTTGGACTAATACATTCTCACATTACAAAGGCAATTTAGTACAAGAATCTTTTTTTGATATTTGAATATTAAATATATTTTTAAAAATATAATAAAGCAAACCTATTTCATAATATAGTGCAAGGAAGAAAAAATATGGACAAGTTTTTAAGTTGGCGGCACAAGTGAAAACCTTCAAAACTATCATTAAGGGAATAGAAGCTTGGTGTACATAAGTACCTATCTTGAATTTCTGATGAAGGTGACAAGTCACCTGTTGCCTAACTAGATAAGTAAATGCACCTGAAATATGGCAAAAAGAAAACATTGCTTAAGCATTCTGAGATTCTCAACCAAAGTACCAATCGTGTTTTCATGTAAGAGACACAGAAGTAATAAACTTGGTTCTATCTAGTTAAATGTTTTTCTGGCTTGCTAAATGCTTAAAAATTATTTGAACCAATGTTTAAAAAGCAGGATATGTTACCTAAAGGGGTGGGGAACCTTTTTTCTGCCAAGGGCCATTTGTATATTCATAACATCATTCACTTAACATATATTTATGTTGCTATGAAAAAAGCTCCTAGATTTAATGAATTTGGAGTCCTGCCTGTGTGCCTTCACAGGGCCAGACCAAATGATTTCACAGGCCTTATTTGGCCACACTCCTGCTTTAAGTAAATTCAATCTGGCTAGTTCAGGTTGTGGATGGGGGTAGCAGGACTGGTAGGAAAAACAGCAAAAATGTTTATCTTTTGTCTTATTCAAGACTTGTGGTTGACTTAATAGATGGATTTTCAAAAGCAGATTTATGAATGTGAGCTAACATGAGAAAAAGGTACAAGAGGGAGCCCCAAAAGAAAGTGTTTTTCAGCAGACACAATGTAGTAATGCTCACGGAATGGCTGCCCACATGCTAGCTGGGTGCCTAATTTGGTTTGATAATGCTCATCTGGAGATGCCAAATAACTTCATATGTCATGTAGTTGGAAGCCATATTCTGTTCTGTTCTGCTATCTGGCATCTGCTGGTAGAAAAATGTTGCAACATGTTTCAATTTAGCTAATGACTCCAGACTCATGGGAATGAAATGTGTGGTGTCTAGCTTCTGGAATGTGCCTAGGCCTAAGAACAGGAACTGTTCTTCTTGGGTGAACCTGGATGATGGCATTGGTTCTGGTATACTCCAGTAGCAGACATTATTAAGTTAGTAGAAAATGACACAACATCCTACTCATGCAAAATGTCTTTTTCTAATAATTTTTGCCATTTTAAAATTCAGGACTAGAAAGTGGTCCTAAAAATGTTATTAACCTTTTAAAAAGGTATTTGAAGAATTTCTTACATTCTCAGCATGTGAGATATACAGCTATTTCAACAGTATACAAGGAAGGAGAAAAATTTGATAATTTCTTCAGTATTTGGTCCTCACCTGCATCAAAATCCCCTGGACCATTATTAAAAGTAGATTTTTCTGGAGGCTTCCCCAGACTCTCTGAATCAGAATCTCTGCTTATTTTATTAAGAGCCCCATATTAAACTTGGAGAACCACTGTCTTAGATTCATTATTACTCAATAAATTCATGCCCATGTGCCCAAATTGGACTGCTTTAGAAGTTATTAATAATAACTACCACACACTGACTACATACCATGTGCTATTCACTAAGTAAAACACTTTATATATAGTTGAGTCATTCTGTTCAACAATCCTAAGGGGTTTTATAGCTCTATTTAATAGGTGATAAACTGTCCAAAGTCACCAGCTAGTGAATGGCCCTGTTCTGGAAACCCAGATCTGATTCTAAAATCTGTGGTCTTAATTGGTATATTCTTTTGCCTTACTTGAATATGAAGTCAACTTAAAATTATTTCAGTCCCACATGAGCAAAATTCCTTCTCCACAAAAGAAGTGACTGATGGAGTACATTACTAAACTTTCAATTTCTGCTCTCCCAGAGCATTTCCTTCTGCTCCCTTAAGTGCATTTTCTTCCTTTCACTTATCTTTAATGATCAAAAAATAAGTCTAGGATATGAGAACTACTGAGCTTGGCAGTTTTGGGAGTTTTTCTCATGATCATCAAGCAAATTCTGGAAGTACGTCTCTATCCATTGGGCAGAAAATTTTCCTAATGTACCATTAAGTATAATCTTGATTTTGCAAATTTTCATAGGCTTCGATGAATGTTACCAAAAAGCTATCACAGAACACCAAGACCAATTAGGACTTGCAAGAGAATTTCAGGGGGAAAAATAACACCTAAATTGAAATGTGGTCAGATGGCCAGCAGTTGCCTCAATATCTGCTTTGGTAACATCAAGATTCATTTGTATATGAACTGCAGGGCCCACACATCTTTCATCAACAGTCCTTGGAGAGCCATGAGTTGAAACTCAAAAACTATGCTGACATCAGTACACTTTGCTGCGGATTACATTGCGTCAGCTCCAAGTGTAGGAAAAATAGCAACATTTAATAAAGGCAGGCAGTCAATCTTGCCAGTCCAGGGCACTAATGCATACTCCACACATACAGGAGCATTAAATACTAAACTGTAAGACACCACAGAAAGATGCATGTGCTGAGAAGTGGAATGAATTCAACTCATGGCAGGGATAGATGTAGCTGCATTTGGGAAGGCGTAATCATGATTGGAAAAGTATGAATACTGTAAAGTATGCTCGAAAAAAAATGTTTAGTAGAATCTAATCAAGTCTGTAGACCAACTTCTGATTTACAAGAGACAAAGACCCTGGCCTGAACTCTTCAAAATGCCAGTGTAACAAGGAAAAAAAAAAAAAAAGGAACTATTCTACATTAAGGCTAAAGAGTTACAATATCCCAGTACAACATAGGAACCTTGACTGAATCCTGATTCTTTCTTTGCCAGGGGAGTGGAGGAAAAGACATTCTTAGGTCAAATGAGAAAATTTACTTGATGGATTTTAAATAGTACAGAATTATTAATTTCCTTTGTTGTGATAATGATATCATGTTTTGCAGAACTTTATAAATCTTGGGAAATACATGCTGGAAATTTTAGGGCATCTACTTAATATTAGGTGTCTGCAACCTATTCCCAAATGGTTCAATGACAATGAAAATGTGTGTGAGAAGGGATGAAATAAGTATGGAAAAATGTTAACAATGTTGGACCTAAGTGAAGGGTATATGACTGTTTATTGTATTTTTTCAACGTTTTAAATTTTTGAATATTTATTTTAATAAAAAACTTGGGGAGTAGCTCATGTTGGCAAGTCTTCAGAGGGGAAACCTAAGGAAGGTTGACTAGTAGGGACTATGCTGAACTTCTGATAAACTGAAGTTCTAAAAAACTTTGCTGGCAATATCTTGGGCATCCAGGAGACATCTCAAAATTCAACCTTTCAGTAAATACTTACCAAAATATCATGTGCAGGGTAAAATGACAGGAAGATGAACCTGATACAAACCATTCTATTTAGGCATAAACATAGTAGTGAAACTAAGAACATAAGCAGCTCTTATATATAAAATAGAGGTTGTCATATAAGAGGTACTAAGAGTGCTAAGTAAGCTCAGAGAAAATTACTTCCTGCTGGGGAGAATCTGGAAACACAGCTCCAAGGATAACCAGGACATGAATACAGAATCACAAAATGTAGGCGCTTCAGTGATTAACCTAGGAAGAATTGAGTAGTTCATTTTGGCTGGGATATGAGTACTAAGGAGGTAGAAATTAAGAAGGTAGGTTTGCACCCTTGTTGACTGGCTGGGTAAAACCGATTTTCAATTTACCTGAAAGTTCTCCTGGTCTTTTTCCTTTGCAGCTTTAGGCATCCAACCCGGTATCACCAAAATGACTTGACAATTTTTTATTCGAGCCTAGTGAAAGAACTACATGAGATAGTGAGTGACAACTCTTGTAAAGCGTCACATATATACTAATACTGTGTGTATATATATGTATATATATATATTTTTTTCACAAGCATTAAATTCTTTAATAAACCGCAGACATGCAGAATTCGGACGTAAAACCTTCATCCAGAACTGCAATCAGTGCTTACAGATCCTCAAGAGAGGAGAAAAAAAGAAAAGGGAGAAAATTCAAAATATGAAGGAGGCGGGGAAATAAGACTTAGAAGTGTTGCTGCCTTGGTGGGGGACCGTCCTTTTCCTTTTTAGCTAGGAATGGAAAATGATTTCGTCAAGCTCCCTAATTCTTCGTCCTCCAAAGGTCAGGGGGTGAAAGTACTTAACAGGAACTTGCGGAGGCGTGGTCAGGAGCTGGGAGCGGGAGTGAAGGGCTCCGCCTGAGGCCCGCGCCCTGGCCCCTCGGGAGAGGGCTGGCTGCAGCAGGGCGAGGGGGCCGGTGGAGCGGCCTCGCCCCACAGAGAGGCGGAGGGAGGGCGGGCCGCCGCCTGGCCAGCCCGGAAAGAAAAGCTGCTTCCAGCGGAAGCAACTCAAGGCCCGGCTCGCCTCCGCGGCGCTCTGTCTCCCAGGGACCGTCGGGCCCAGGCCTGCATCACAGGGGGAGGCCCAGGGACACCCACATCACTTCACGACTCCAGTCGGAATGGGCACTCTCGGGGCCCCGGGGGCGCACGCGGTTCCCACTCTTCCGCCTTGACCCCATTCAGAAGTGCCAAACGCAACTTCCGGGCAGGACAGGGATTTTCGGAGCCCTGAACTCTTGTTCACATAGGTAAGTGACCAGACGTCCCAGCAAACTAAGGGCCAGGACACCTGCTCCCTCCTCGCCCCCATCCCAGGCAGCTAGTCCGGAATGTTAATGAACTTGCCTAACATGGGATGTCTGGTCACCTTTGGTCCCATTATGGGTCTACTTACAGATGCTTCTCTTCCCAGACCGCTTAGCTGTTGCCAGGGCAACGGAGGGATAGGACGAAGGGAAAACTACGTCACACAGGAGACGGGAGGCCCGTAAACTCCCGTTGCCATGATCAGTTATGGCTGCCTGGGCTTCAACGGTACCTTCCTATTGGGTGTTGTCTCTACCCCGCTGGAGGCTTACTTTGTGACCCGGCGAGCTCGCGGCGCCCAGCGGGCGGGAGAGGGCGTGGAGGAGCAGAGGAGAGGGAAAGGGCGGGGCGAGGAAAGCCGAAGCCGAAGGCTGCTTCTGATTGGGTAGCGTCGCTGGCGCTAGCGCCTCGTTCTGATTGGGCAGCGTCGGTTTCCCTTGCCCCGCCTGACTTTCTTCCCCAGCCCGTGAGCGGCCGGCGCCGGAGGGGTGGGGCGGGGTGGTAGGAGCGAAAGTGTGGCGGGGCGGGCGGGGCGGGGCGAGTGGGGGAGGGGCGGGGCGGGGCGAGTGGGGGAGGGGCGGGCGGGGGGCGGCGGTTGGGCAGCGTCTCTTCTAAGGAGGAGGAGGAGGAGGAAGGAGGGCGAGCGAGCGAGGAGGATGGCGGAGTCGGGGCTCCTGACGGTAACCTGGGGCCGCTGAGGCGGGAGGTGTCTGTAGGTCGGGTTTTCCTGCCTCCCTTCCTGCCCGTCGGGCGGTCGGGCTGTTGGTAGGGGGAGGCCCCGCGCGTCCTGACTGGCGCGAGCCGGCGGGGCCGGGGCGAGGCCCCAGGGGCCGGGGCCCTGGGAGGCGCCGCCGCCGCCGCGGCTTTCCTGGGTGCTGTCGCCGGGAGGGCTGGGCCCTTGGACCGGGCTCTCCGTGCAGGGACCGCGGCCGGGCGCCTAGAGCGAGCCGGCCGGCTCTGACAGCGACCGGGGCCGGGCCTGCGGTGGCGGCGGGCGGCCGGGACAGCGCCCGGCGAGGGCGAGGGCGAGCCGGCGCGAGGGCGCGGGCCGGGGGCGCCGGGAGGGCGGTCCTGCTCCCCTCGGCTCCCGGGGCCGCCGGGTCGGGCTGTAGGGAGACCGTGGGCGTCCGGGAGGGCGTGGAACGCTCGGCGGGGTCCCTGGCGCGGCGGTAGAGACTCGGGGCGGGGGGTCTTTCCTTGCCGCCTCCCCAGAGCCCACCGCGCTCTCCTCGCCCCCTCCCTCCCCTCGTGGGGGAGCGGTGAGGAGGTTTGGGTGTGTTGCCAGGTGAAGCGAGTTGTAGGCATTCAAGACTGCTCCGTCGGACATGCCTGATGGAAGCAACCTCTTTCGCGGTAGCTTTTAGAGACAGAGGAAAAGTACTCCCCCCCAACTCAACACTAGAGGTTTCGGGACAGAACGAACCCCCCAGCCCCTCAGCCCCTCAGCATCCATTGTTTTGTATCATCCTCCTCCCCCGCCCCACGTTTAGGTAAGAAGAATAATGACTCCAAACCATTAATTGCACCCGCACCCCCCCCCCCCCCCCGCCGTCAGCAGCGGGTTTGTGTTATTGTGTTCGTGTGGATTTACAAACAGGTGGAATGAATACGGATTCGGGGGCTGGAAAGATTTTTAAGCTTTCAGCCCCTTACAATTGCCGATTTGATTTTGTTGTCTGTTGCTTTGTATCATAATGGGGGTGATGAGAATAAAAGAGGAAGCAATGTTTTGCAACCTACCCAAAGCAATGTTTTCTAAGTCTCTGGGGATGCTGAAGCAAAAGTGGGTTGCAGATGTGGACTGTATAGTATTTGCCTTCACCCTAACTAGCAGCAGTCTATAAGCTTATTTATATTTGTGCAATTTTGTACATTTCTTAAATGTCAGCAGTTTCTAGTATCTACCCAGAGGGATTGTTGTATCTAAAACTTATTTTTGTTATGCTTTTCAGAGTCCCAGAGTACACTTGTGTAACCAAGTATTTTTGTATCTAAATGAAGCATCAATACTGAAACATTATCTTTATTTTAAAGACCTCAGTTTATTAATGTATTAATCTCTAAACTTCCACGCCATAATCCTTCTGTTACGTTGTATTTGAAGAAATTTAGCTATTGGGTACAATTTGTAACATTCACAAAGCTTACATTTATAGTTTGAATTTATCTTGTTAAGGTTTTTCTATGTGACAGGTGACAAGAATTTTGAGGAATGAAGTATGTAAATGACCATTCCTACTAATGGAACTTAGATTGAATATAAGCCTTTTAAATACTTGTTTGGACATAAGGTACACCATACTGTACTTTTAATTCATTATGATTATACATTTGAAAAATAGACCACAGACAAATAAAGGCTTTGTCTAAGGTTTGTAACTTTAAAATGGCTTAAAAGTAATATAAAGCTCTAATGTAAAACTATAATAATCATTTTTTCAAATTTTATTGAGAAATAATTGACGTACATCACTGTATAGGTTTAAAGCATATAGCATGGTTTGGTTTATATATATATTGTGAGATGATTACCATAACAGGTTTGGATAACGTCCATCTTCTCATATAGATATAACAAAAAGAAAAGAAAAAAAAAGAAAACAAGGAAATATTTCTTCTTGTGATGAGAACTCTTAGGGTTTGCTCTCAGCTTTCCTGTGTATCATACAGCGAGCGGTGTTAGCTATCGTCATCATGTTGTACATTACATCCCTAGTACTTACTTACTGTGTAACTGGAGGTTGTACCTTTTAACTACCTTCCTCCTGTTCCCCTCCCCCATCCTCCTCCTCTGGTAACCACAAGTCTGATCTCTTTTTTTGTGTTTTTGTTGTTGTTAGTATGTTTTGTGTGTTTTTTTAGATACCATATCTAAGTGAGATCATCCAGTATTTGTCTTTCTCTGACTTGTTTGCCTTCAAGGTCAATTTATGTCCCAAATGGTAGGAATTCTTCGTAAACTATATTCTTGAAATGCCAGTTTTGAGATATGGACCTTGCCTGTATCTAAGGTTCCTGCTTTGCCCCCCAAGATATTTGTTCAGTGTTTGAAGAAACAACTACATTTATGTCAGGTTGGCATTTGTTTTCTGATCTCATTGTTAATATAGTTTTAAAGTGTTTAAAATTTTCTCTTATTTTTTTATAAATTGTTTTGCATTAAAGAGTGCTATTAAGAGCTACATTAATAGCTTGTAGCTGGATAATTTTTTAGTTTTTAAACTACCATAGTCAGAAATTTTATCAAAGCTGTGTTTTGATAATTGTAGCAAGAGTTATATTAATATTTTGTGAACTACAACCCAGTCAGAAATTTGAAACATTTCACTTTTCAAAAGAAACAGCAAAATTATAAACTCTTTTGACTTGCTGGAATTAATGCTTTTTAAACACTACTATTTCTTCAGTGTCTCGGAACAGGGCTTGTTCCACGTTCAGAGAGCCATAAACTGGAATTCTCTGTAAAGTATTCCCAAAGATGGTTTCTGAATAGCTGCTAGTATATTATTTTGCCTTGGCTTACCTGTGTGGATTATGGGGGAAGGGTGGATAAAATTGGAATTCTTTGTTATTTGGGCAGTTAATTATGGTCATATTGGTTTTGAAGATATGCTAAATTATCAATATCTGTAATGTAATTTAATATTTCTGTAGGACTTGTTCTTTAGACAATTTAAATTTTTAGATTTTTTTTCTAGTAAGAAGATATTTAAAATATATAAAAATAATCTGTTGTGTTTTTGACTAGGAAATATACTCTGACCTGTATTTGCAGATATGAGCATTGATATATTTTGGAAGTTGAAGATTAAATAAAAGAATATATCTTTATAATTCAATTTACTATATCATTCGTGTCTGAAAAAGCATAAAATCAATACTTATAACAACAAAACAAAGCCAAGTCCAACACATACGCCCCTCCAAAACAATAAGAACCAAACAAGTTGACCCACAAGTCCTTTAGTGAGTCTGAGGTTTTTATAGCTTGGTTTTGATGAAAGTATTCTTGAAGTAGTTTATATTATAAAATATCAATTAGGAGAGAAAATTTAGATATTAAATAAGCACTTGGACATTTCCTAGTAAGACTAGTAGGAAATTGGTAAATATTTTATGAGTAGATGAATTAGATAGAAATTGGCTATCATACTTAAAATACATTAAGTATTTTTATGTGGTACTTGAGAAGTGAGTATTACAGGCATGAAATTGATATTTTTTGTTTATTGTTAGGCTTACGTTTTATGCATTATTTTATGCATGGGCATTTTATAATTTAAGGCTAAATCTTTCATATATATGTATATGTATATTCTGTTATCCCTGTCTCTGAATTTTACTTGTTACACTGCATCAAATTTATGCCCTATAGATCTTTCTGGAAATACTTTCTCTCTCAATATAGTGGTCAAAATTTTGTATTTTTCTACCTCTCTGTCTACACTTTTAAAATCTGAAAAAATGTGTAAGTTACAATCTCTGGTGTGCTTGAACTTAATATATTATAGAGTGTTCTGCAATATAATTGTCATTAGTGTAGGTTGGGAAGAAGATGCATAAGTCTGAGAAACTGATTTATGTTCTAAAATATGTAGTTGAATTATTTTAGGGTAAACTAATGTTTACTATATCTTTGTTGGGTATTTTCCCCTGGTTTGCAACTTTTTACCAAATCAAAATTTCTTCCATGTGAAAAGCATATTTTAATGACAAAGGGTTCCTCAACTTTTCAGATGTTGGCAACATATATGCTTTTTGAGGAAATAAGAAGTTCCCATTATCAAGATTTAAAAGAACTAATTCGATTTCACACTATATATCTCATTGCAATTTCTCTATAAAGATCAGCACTGGTTGCAAAAAGTAGAGAATGCTGTTAAAAGGCAAAGGTTCTTTTGTCAGAAAGAATGAACATATTGCTTGAAGCTAAAACATTATAAGAGACCTTTAAAAGGTATAATTGGTCCCTACATGAAATGAACCTGAAAATGTTTTATGAAGTATTTGGCATGTCTGTCTTCTAATATTTATAGCACTGTGAATACTCACAATTTAAGCACTTTATTTGTCCTCAAATACTATTTATAAATTCTACAGTTTTAATTTAGTAATTTTACAGTTGAAAAAGATAGTTCTTTTTTCTTTTAGTTTTTCTACTGTCTTGGAGGTAAAGTGGAAATGGGTTGTTCTGACCCTGATAATGTCTTAGAATTTAGAGTGAATTTCATCAAATTTGAACTTTCTCAGTTTTGTGTAATACAGTACTCCTTCCTGCTTTTAAGACTTTCACAGTTTTGCAAATAGTCTTTATGTTAACTTTCAAATTTTGTTCTATAAATATTTCTTACTAACTACAGTTTCATATTCACTAATGTCATAGAGCATCTACTGAGTGCCATGTATGGTTCACATTCTGAGGATGCAGAAATAAATATACTATGTTTTTTATGCTCAGCAAGTTCAGTTTGTTGCATAAGTTGGACAAATCAGTAGTAATTGGTTGTTTTAGAGTGACAGGTGCTTTGATAGCAGTATACACTGAAGATTTTAGATGAATTAAGGCTCACACTACATGCATAACCAGCATTGCTTACTGGAGGATTGGGCCTGAACTAAGTCTTGAGGAATAAGTAGGATAAATAGAGGTTTAAAAAAAGCATAGAAGTTAGAGACATTAATGTCCATTTGGAGAATTGCAGGTGAATAGCAATTTGGATTTCATGTGTGACTTAATATTTTAGGTGATACAGTAGGCTTTCATGAAAGCTCACATTTTTAGAGACTGTTATTTCTTGTGTGCCTAATTTAATTTGGGCCTTGAACTGTAAATCTGCATTAATGTGGGGGAACTGCTCAAAATTATTACTTAAAACTTAATAAAGTGTATATTTTATTAATATTTTAATTAAGTACAAAAGAGAAGATATTAGCCTGATATGAAATAATTCCCAGGCTTAGAACTCCAGTTAGGTTTCAAAATCGAAATTAAGTATCTTTTTCTCAGTATTTATGCATCATGTTAAGAGTAACAATTATGAATTTCTTTAAAGCTCATAGTAGGTTTTTACTATACATTTAAAATTTGCTATTCTGAGATGTAAAAACAACTTCTTTGCAAACTGATTTAAAAACTAGTGGCCTGGTGCACAGATTCGTGCACATTGAACGGAAATTAATTAGAAGAAAGCTTTGTTTACATTGCTGCAAAAAAAATAGTATATATAACAGTATTATAAAATTAAGATACAAAACATTTTAATATCGCTATTTGCCCTTTCTCTATAATAGAAGTAAGAGATGAAAGAAAACTAGTAAAATGTATATGAAAATAATATATAAATTGATTAATAAATAAACAATAACAACATGATATAAAAACAAAGACATGATATAAAAATAACAAAAACATAACATTGATAAAAACAATGATAAATTGATTAATAAATAAACAACAGCAACATGATATAACAACAAAGTGCCAATAGTT